CCTAACTTAATCTAACCTAACTTAATCTAACCTAACTTGACCTAACCTACCCTAAACTGACCTGACCTGACTTAATCTAACCTAACTTGACCTAACCTACCCTAAACTGACCTGACATGACTTAATCTAACCTAACTTGACCTAAACTAACCTGACCTGTGTTTCAAATGTTGTGTCAGAGGTTAGGTTAGGTTAGTTTAGGTTAGGTTAATTTGATCTTAGTGAGTAGATCTCTCTCTCTCTCTCTCTCTCTCTCTCTCTCTCTCTCTCTCTCCTGTTCATGGCTGTGTTGATATTAATTTTAACTCCATAATTCCTCAGGTAGTGTGGAGAATAAGTTGGTGGTGGTGGTGGGGGTGGTGGTGATGGTGGTGGTACGGTGTGGTGGTAGTAATGATGGTGGTGGTGGTGATGGTGGTGGTGGTGGTGGTGGTGATGGTGGTGGTGGTAATGGTGGTGGTGGTGGTGGTAGCGAGAAGTGGTAAAAATTAATGAACATGAATAATATTATATTAAATAAGCGAATGAGTTCCTTCCGCCCACCTACCCACCCAGCCCTGTCTTTAGTTACTTGCCCACTCATCCACCTACGTCTGTCCCCACTCACCCACACCTAATGACCCTAACCTCCCTCTCATTCACTTCTCTCCACCACCCCCCTCCACACCTCCCACTCCTCTCCACCCCCTCTCACTTCACTCCTCTCCACCACTTTCCTAACAAAATAGATGTGACACTTCCCTTCAAATGCACCATAAGACAGTACACATGACACTTACCTTTCAACAGGTAACCAGTAAGACTCACGTATTCCCCATGTCACTAATTACCACACACACTAATAACAACTGTACTAAACACCTATTTAACCCTTATCATGATTAATTTAACCAGGTATTTAATAGTTCATGATGATCGTTTTATATTTAATTGGTGGTGGTTTAATTTACATACGCAGGTGGGTTTTTTTTTCATTCTTTACATATGAAAGTTTGAAGCAAGTTTCTGTTTTCACGTAATAAAACAATTTTCTGTTATAGCTATTTTCCTTACGTTTGTTTATAATTCCTTTATACTTTTTGTATACTTTAAATACTTTTATTATTGATATGTTAACCAGTTTACAGTCACCACAGTTGTCAGTTTCCAGTTAGGATTGATTTCTGTCAAGACTGACAATAGTATTATATTTCACAGTCAGCGCCACAACACAACACAACGCAACACAACACAATGCAACACAATACGACACAACACACGCAACACAACACAACACTTGGTAATCGGAACTGTTGAAGATTACGCTCCGATAATATTTTCCACTGGACGAGAACACTAGATTCAACAGCTAAGGGATGCCCAGCAGCTAGGAACATAGCATAGTTAGGAACACACCACAGCTAGGAACACAAGCGTGGGACGGCACAGTACATCGAACACTGAGATGTTGCCAAGCGGAATCCACACACGTGTACACTGACCCGCACACACACACTTATATATGTGCACCGACCCGCACACATGTACACACACACACACACACACACACACACACCCACACACACACACATTGGGCTCGGAAGTTGGACTGACTCTTTGGTACTGGTGCTCCTGCCAACACCCGCATCACACACACACACACACACACATCAATGACACACACACATACGTACACACACACACACACACACACACACACATCAATGATACACACACGTACACACACACACACACACACATCAATGACACACACACATACGTACACACACACACACACACACACACTTGTATATTATTTGTAATTCGTAACCCATTCCCAAATATGTAACTGTATATTTTCAGCCTTCTGGCTGCCAAGCTCTTCAATAAACCGTTAATTATTATTATTATTATTAAACACATCAATGATACACACACACGTACACACACACCAATGACACACACACACACACACACATCAATGGAACATACACACACACAAACACACAACGATGACACACACACACACACACACACAGACACAGAACACACACACATACACACATCAATGACACATACACACACACAAACACACAACGATGACACACACACACACAATGACACATGCACACGCACACACACGCAAACAATGACACACACACAAACACACAACGATGACACACACACACACATACACACGTCAATGACACATACACACACACAAAACACACAACGATGACACACACACACACACACACACATACACACATCAATGACACATACACACACACACACACACAAACACACAACGATGACTCACATACACACATCAATGACACATACACACACCACACACACACAAACACACAACGATGACTCACACATACACACATCAATGACACATACACACACAAACAAACAAACAACGATGACACACACACACACACACACACACCAATGTATTGCTGACACACACACACACACACGTACACACACACACACACACACGTACACACACACACACACACATGTCAATAAAGCTGCCAAACACACACTAGAGCCCCCACACATAGAGGCCTTACGTCACTAGTGTCTGTGTGAGTCAGCTGGGGAGGACGGCGGCAACACGACGCACAATATAGTGGAGGGAAAGAGGAAGGTTTTGTCACTCACAGGAAGGAGAAAAAAAAAACGCGGGAAGGATTTTATAACCAGGATTTTTTTTAAAAGCTTATAGTGAAACCTCCATAAAACGGACGTCAATCCGATGGGGATCATTTTACATCTAACGGTCTCTTCGATATAACGGACTTTCCTTTCCATATAGAGAGTTTATGTAAACAAACAATATTGTAAACAGTCTGGTGTCCCGTAAGCCGATAAGGTCCCGATGTTGTAACCTTATTCCTCTTGTCATGGTTAATGTTATGGCGGGGCTATACGGCCCCAGCACCAGTACAGTGACGAAGAGTTTGACCCATAGCTACGAGTGTTTATGTTTCAGTATCGTACCGTTAACGTCTACTTCAAGTTTAATCGGCTATTGCAAGATTCGTCGTTATTATGGGTGTGGGGAAGGAGGGAAGAACTCACATTGCAACCTAGTTAGTTATGCATATTGCAATGAGAGAGAGAGAGAGAGACAGAGAGAGACAGAGAGAGAGAGAGAGAGAGACAGAGAGAGAGAGAGAGAGAGAGAGAGACAGAGAGAGAGAGAGAGAGAGAGAGAGACAGAGAGAGAGAGAGAGAGAGAGAGACAGAGAGAGAGAGAGAGACAGAGAGAGAGAGAGAGACAGAGAGAGAGAGACAGAGAGAGAGAGAGAGAGAGACAGAGAGAGAGAGAGAGAGAGACAGAGAGAGAGAGAGAGGATTATCAGGGTTTCGTCTACTCTACTAATTGAAAAGTAGATTTGATCTTATTAAGTAAATAAAACAGTACAGTTAGTATGTTATGTTTAAATATAAGTGTGTGTGTGTGAGGGGGAGCAGGTGTTAGTTTACAGATGTGGAAGATACAAGTGTTCTGCCGTCAGTGACACCTGCACATTTCAACACTTGTTCAGACCACACACACACACCAAAAGTAATACCTCCACACACTATGGGTAACTTTGAAGGAAATAATATAGTCAAGAAAGAAGAATCAGTAACTGGTAAAAAAAAACTCAGGTTATGACAGGTATGGATGGTGTTAATCAGACAGTCTTGCAGGACCATCGAGGGGTAGGGTAATGGGAGGTGACCAGGAGGGAGTATGTGTTTGTTCCCTGGGTCTAATAATATTAAACTTAACATCAGTACACAGTTTATATTCATTGTTCTTAAAGGGGAGAAATTTGTTTATCAAGAAGTGTGTGTGTGTGTGTGTGTGTGTGTGTAGCTCTACTTTGTCCTCTTAACACTTCCCACACACCTCCTCTTACCTCTAATTTGGAGATTGACAACTGAGCATCTTTTCAGGGTGATTAGAGGAGGTATTTATCCATTCAGGCATCTATCACATTCCACTGTAAACATTTTTCCTCTCCACCCAAACTTCAAATTGTATTCCAATAAACACAATTTCATTCCTGTTATGTAAACTTATGCTACACCACCATCTACCTTGTTAAACATTAAGGGTTTCTACTACTACTGGCCCTTCTTCCTTCACACTGAGCTGACCGGCCTCATTAACTACAGATGATATAGTATCAGTTATGTGGCAAGTTTAGGACCACAAACAAACTGCAATTGGGAAGTTTCCAATTTGAGGATATAAGAGGTTAGAATATCTATAAAATATTAAGTACAGTAAAGTATGGGACTACTGTACATCTTTATTTAGCAGAAAGAGGAGTTTGTGCACAAGTATTTAATTTTAAATTAAAGAAACCAAGTGAAATAATTGCTCATATAAAAGCTGTACTCTATTTATAAAAAGTTATTGATTTCTATTTCTAGATGTCACAGGAATTGATTTTGACCATTAGTGGTACTGTTTATCTCACCCCAGCACCCTCTTGTAGGTTACCCTTGTAGAGGGAAGGACACACACAAACACTGGTCTGGCCAGGTAGAGTTTGTACAGGTTCAGTTTGAGTCAGATGACGTTGCATAGCAGAGAAAAGTGTAGGGTGTTCTCTCATACTCAGTTTCCTCACAATTGGATTTTACACATTAAACAGTATTCAGGTTTGGAAATTTCTGAAGTTTGGGGACAAGGATAATCAACACACTACCTGAGTCTTTTTCTCTTACTTGCATTTAGTTAGTTTTCTCTTCTTACGTACTGTAAAATATTGCACTATTTTACAGAACCCAGTTATAAAATATACTTGACAATGGCATCCCCAGAGTGAAGGAGGTAATACTTAGCAGACAAAATCAGCCCCTAGGCTATTAATAAGAGACAAGAGATCAAAGGTTAAAAATCACAGCTTCAAAATAAATCACCATTCAGTAGAAATTCACACCTACCTTGGCTGGCATCTATCTGGAGTTAGTTAATGTCTTACAACTAAGGTAAAAAATATCACATCCCCATAAACTCTTTTTTATTGTAATTAAACACCATAAATATTAAAAATACATTACTGAGTGTTAACGTGGATTTTCATTACATCGTCAATATCTTCTAATTTTTGGAACAACGTAGTTAACTGCTTCTCGTCATCTTCAGAAATTGTCACGGGTATTTTCGCTAAATAGTCAACGTTGGCATAATTTATTTCATACCCGAGGCTCTCCAAACCTTGTTTGACTTGCATGAAGTCGTTAGGGGCACTGGTGAACTGTGGATAACAAATCAGTTATAGAGAAAACAACAGGCAAGAGCTTTGTACATTATTGATCTACAGGTTATTGTCTGAAATATAAATACAGTACTGTACTGATCCAAGGCAATATACCTGGTCAAAGACAATATACCTGATCAATTATTTTGTTCTATTCATTAAGGCATTCCCCACTATGGCAAGAGACAAGTGTGCCGACACAGGGCCAGGGGGCAGCAGTGCACCCTCCACCCACTCAACCCCCCACCCGGGAGGCGGCACCAGCTCAGCCTACCGGACAGGAGGAGGCGAGCGCCGTGTAAACAATGACATTTCTAACCACACCCTGCAAAATACAGTGTACTTAGCAAATGCTGCAGCTTCTGAGAATGGGGGGGGAGCAGGTTTATTACTAAGAACAGAGACGTTACCGAGAACAAATTCTGGCTTGAATGTCATGTACACTAATACTGACACGTTCTTTGATAACAGAGAGGAGTTTGAAACACTACTAAGACTACACCAACCAGATATTGAAGGTGTTGTAAAACTGTTGTACAAGAACAGGAGAATCGACCCAGAGGAATGTGAGTTCAGTATTGCTAGGCAAGACCTTAGAGCCAGCCAGGCGAGGGTACAGGGAGAGGATGTTTTTGAAGAGTCCAAGTGGTGTAAAATTCAATTAAAGGGAGGGGACTTACTTATCGTCGGGTGTATCTACAGATCCCCAAACTGTGGCCCACTAAATCAAAGGAACTTAAGAACCTTAATAAACAACGCAGCGATGCTCAACCCTAGCCACCTCCTTATCATGGGGGACTTTAACTATGGCGACATCGACTGGAGAAACGAGTCCACCCCGAATGACTTGAATAACCCTGCTACTCTTTTTGTAGAAACTCTGAGAGATAATTTTCTGTTCCAACATGTTAGAGACCCGACACATTACAGAGGGGAGCAAACACCCAAGCCACTTGACCTCATCATAACAAACGAGGAGGGTATGGTGGCCAAACTGGAACACCTTGCCCCAGTTGGCACCAGTCACCATACAGTGTTGTCATTCAGATTTAACTGTTACCTAGTTCAAGATAAGGCCAGGCCAAGGTGCAAATATTACAAGGGAAATTATAATGGGATGAGGGAAGAGATGAGGGGTATCAACTGGCCTGACTTATTAAAGAACGCAGACACTACGCTGAATATCATAACTAGTAAAGTGACCCATTTGATCGATAAATATATACCCAAGACCAAACCCAGTGCTTCTAGGAATACGAGGGGATCCCTACAAATGAACCATGCGACAGTCGACAAAATTAAGAAGAAGACCCAGAAATTCAAGACGTGGGTTGGGTCAAACAATGAGCAAGACAGGAGGATGTATGCAAGAGCCAGAAACCATGCAAAGATAAAGTGTAAGAGGGCTGAAAAGGAGTTCCAGAGGCTGGTTGCAAGAGAGGTCAAGTCAAACCCAAAGGCGTTTTACCGCTACGCAAAGTCGAAATTGAAAACGCGAGTAGGAGTATCAGACCTGAGGCTGGTGGATGGTAGTTACGCAGATTCTGACCAGGATAAAGCTGAGGCATTGAACAGCTTCTTTTCCTCGGTGTTCACAAGAGAGGAGGCAACTAACCTTCCTGCGTTTGAGGACAGACGGTTCGACACAGCACTGACCCACATTGTGTTCACAGAAGAGGGTATTAGAAATAAACTGTCCAGGCTAAAGGTCCATAAGAGTCCCGGACCTGACATGGTGCATCCTAGAGTGCTAAGAGAGTTGTGCAACGAGCTTGCAGAGCCCCTGAGGATCCTGTTTTGTAAATGCCTGGATGAACAAATGGTCCCCAGTGAATGGAAAGTGGCTTATGTGAGTCCTATCTTCAAGAAGGGCGATCGTCACTCAACGAACAACTATAGACCGGTGAGCCTGACCAGCATAATATGTAAAGGACTTGAGAGTATTATCAGAGATGGATCTCTCTTTAACAAGTCACAAACACCTCTAAGAGTCATGTTGGTGTTAAGAACTAGAGAACTCTGATGTGACTGGGACACCAACAAAGTGGAACTAAACTGTTTTAATATGACGACTCGCTGATCCCAAATATAATTTTATCTTCATCTTTGAATTTACCCAAATAATATATCCTTAACATCTCCCACACAAGACTTACCACTAAGTTATCATCCTCTTCTGCTACGTCCTCTGCCCCAACCTCAATGGCACTGTCCATAGCTGCTTCCAGTGAGGCTCCTTTACCACTGGCCACCACGATCCCCTTCTCCTCAAACATGTGTCGAGCACTACCTTTGGCTTCCTGCACACTGTGAGGGAAGGATATACAGTACAGCATATATGATCATACAAGAGTGTGCTACATCTTCTATAACCAGACAAGTTCTCTGGGTGATCCATGTAATCAACCAAGTCTTCAGGACTGGGTTAAGTTAGGATAGCAACACAGAAGTAAGAGTTATCATTTAAAACAGAAGGAGAACTGGTTTTTCATACAACCACATAGATAGTGTGCATCTCTCACGTCACTTGTTCAGTCATAACCTCAGACAACAACAATAATAGTCTTTAGTCTCAACCACTCAGTCACTGGGTGGATGCTGGTACAGTTTGCAGTCCTGGATACAACATAGTCAAATGGTAACTGGTAAGTGCCTGATCAACATGGAAACAATAATGTAAAAATTTAATATTCCTTGATTTTTTTTGTAAATTTGAAATTGGTAAATAGTATAGGAAGTAAATAGGGTTTTATTCACTGAAATTTTGTTTTGAAAGTAAATATGCAACAGAATTCAAGCTACCAGCAAAATCTCTCCTCAATGCATATGGTGCCAATGTCCCAAGCCTTGTATATTAGTTATTATGATGGAAGGTATCTATGTCTCCAGTGATTTAACAAAAGAATTTCAAGAAGTAAACTAATGTAGATTATTTCATGGGATGGTTCTTTAATATTTATTGACTTTTTAATCTCAAAATATGGAATTTACAAAATATGGAACTTACAAAACACAGCCCAGAAGTTAGATTGAAAGTAAAAAATTACCTTAATGTAATATAGAATAGCGCATAGTGTACAAATCAAATAAACTCTAAATTTTAAAGTAAATATGAAAGTGGTTTATGGGAAGTGAATGATGTTTTACCCTCAATATCCTGTTATAATAAATGATACTTGAATCTCCCCTGGTGGCTGTGGAAACTCGTAAATACTTAGGACAGCAGAGAAAATATAAAATGAGGAATATTCAAGACTGGTTGACGAGGAATTACTGTACTGTACTGCCATCTAGTCTCACATGATCAAGACACAGGTGTATGGACTCTCCCAAGTGAATATTTCTCTTATACTCTCATCTCTTCCCCTTATTGTACTTCTCCCATTCTACTTACAATACCTATACTGTAGAGCCATTTTCTTGCCTAACTGTAAATCTATCTAATGTATCTGTGGATGAAGCAATATGTATACTGTAATGAGAGACACAAAGGCAACAAAGAGAGGTTTAATGGTAAAGGCATAAAGCTTTTGATACTTTAGTACAGCATAAGAATAAGGTGGAATCATAAAACAAAATAAACCTCAACGATAATTTAATCTTAAATTAAAGTCGATGAAAATATCCCTTACTAAAATTTTTTGATCACGCTCTGCAAAGCTATCTTGGTGCGATTTACGTTGTCAGTCAACAGCTCGACCAAGAAGAACACAGATCCAGGTCCCCTGTACTCTATGATGGCAGCCTTAGCATTGTCCTGAGACTTCTGTAAATATCAAGAGCATCATTACCAAGATGTGTTTAAAGTAGGTCGAGGGAACATCTTGAATAACATATAAAGTTATATTTTGTGCCATAATGATGAGCAAATTCAACAAAATGTAAACACCTCTGTACATGACTTGGTTGATGGTGTTCAGGACCTCCAGCCTGAGACACAGGTTCAGTCCTCTGTCAAGTAAGTTTGGTGGGGCTAAGATAATCCTTATATACCAGAGGCTGCCATCCCATGTTTAGGTGTAGCTCTCAGAGGAAAATTACATAAATAATGGACACAATAATCACCTCTAGTATTTGTTACTACTGACTTAGAAACAACAAATCTTGCCAAATACAGTAACTTTACTTCTACTGGGCAAGGCAAGTGAGCTTCTGATGCTGCTTGTAAAGATTTATTTCCTTTACTGTATGGCAAGAATAAAGGCAGATATTGGGTAATCAATGATGTTAGTTCAAAAAAATTCATAGTATGATGTTTAGATAAAAATTACAAGCTCACTTTTATAATCATGTATATCTTTTTAAGTAAAGTGTTACCAGGCATTGATTTGTGATGTTTTCCAATTTTAATACAGTACCAAAATATTTTAAACATGTTAACTTAATACTGTTTTTTTGTCATTTTGGTGTGGGGTGTGAAGTGGCCCCACGGTACGAAGGTTGTTATAAACTACAGGGGTGCTAAGAGGGAATACAGTATATTATTTTTAGACATGTGTTGATGTTGGTGAGGAACATTATGGATCTCAATACTGTATGTCATGAAACAGTTTCAAGATATATTGGAGAGAAGACTTACCTGATGTGTTTCTATAACATTATTTATACTAGCTAGAGGCATGTTGTTACTGCGAGCAAGTTCAACAGCCTTGGCAAGTTTGGAGTTCAGGTTGGGGTCAGTATTTCCACCCTCTAGAAAAGAAGAAAGATGTTTCTTTTTCTGCCAAATAAAATATAATTAACAACAATACAATTCTAAATCAAGACACTAGCAACCGGGGAATTATTTTTTCACTCCTATGAGCTTCTCTCACTGTGATGCAGCAACCAGACTCATGAACACACACAACCTCCATCACTCTAATTTGTTTACTGTCATATATTTATCCAGCCATCAAAAATTCCTGGGGCGATTGTAGAAAAATTTAAAAACATATTTTTGTGGCTTTTCACTTTTTATCATCATTATTTCTATTATGCTTCATTCATGTCTGTCTAACATTAGGTGGAACAGCTGGTTGTAGCCTGGCATGACTGAGATAATGTACATCATATCTTTATCTTGTTCTGTGGTTTTGATAGGTATATTTTTTGGCAAATATGAGACCTACACACACAAACACACCTCTCTGAAAGCCAATGTCACCATGCAGTTAACTTGGAGACCTAAAACATATATTATCTGACCAAAGTCTGAGATGACAGGTTACTCCGAGGACAAATGAAAGGAATCAGATTAAAGTTATATCAAGGGGTGAGTTTACCTTTTATTGCATTTCTTATAAGACGAGAACACTTTGTGTATATCTTCTGCCTCTCGGCATCTTTACTGGCCTTGATGTGTTTGATGTTAGACCACTTGTTGTGTCCAGCCATCCCTCTTGAGAGTTCCAGTGTACAAGGGACAATGGTGCTCTTCAATACATGACTTATATTCCTGTACATGACAGTCTCCATGCCCACACATGGGGAGGAAGCTGCTGCTAATCTCACAATCTGGAAAATTTATTATAAATAACTTGTCTAGTAAGTGCTTCAGGTAAACAACAGATTATGTAGTTAAAAAGTGATTAGTTTACAAACACTGAGAGCTGGTATTACTTCCACAGGTGCTGTACTGTACGTCCGCATGTGTAAACATGTCTGCTTTATGTGACTGATACTGAAGCCATTCATCAAAACCTTGAATAAAAACTAACCAGGTTTTTCTTAAACTCTACATCTAAGAGTTGGTGAGTATTTTAAATTTAAGTTTTCACTCATCTGATAGTTGGAGAAGCTACTTAACCCCCCGAGTACTATGCCGGTCCCCTGAGCACAGTGAGTTAGCCCTGAGTATATATTCTTAACCCTCGTCCCACCATTGTGCTCTATGAAGGTCAGGTCAGCTCTCTTTTGAGGTTGTAAGATGACCTCAGAGATAGGAATCTGACCACAGATGCTGCAAGAGACTGTGTAACATGGTGAGCTGCCATCAGGTAATCTCGGCTATCCCAGACAAGCCTGAAAATTGCTGTAAATGGTGATGAGAACATGACACAATGTATTGTACTGTACTGTACTCACTTCAATATGATGTCTTTATTATTGGGTTATTGTAGAATTATCTGTTGCCTTGAGTATGATAACATTGTACTCAGGTACGTAAGTCATCATACTTTCTGCAATCGAATGTTTGTTTGTTTTATACATCTTTTTTTTCTTTAGATAGCTACAGTTACATTCTATAATGTCAGTCATAACAGAAAATTAACTTGTCAAGTCAAACCTAAAAACATAAGTTATTTTCTATCTTATTCTAATAAAATAAAATAACAATCCCTTCTCTTTTGTTTAGATACTGTACACTTACACTCTATAATTCATAAAAGGAAGAGAAACTAACCTAACACATTACAGTTATGTTATTTTCTACCTTATTTTTCTGAAGTAAAATTCCTTTCTGCAAACACAAACATTCCTACAGTCACTACACAGCTCGTGAGGGTTTTTTCATTTTCTTTGGGGATTTTGTAATTTTTTATTTATTTTTTTTTTATTTCTCGAGGTAAGAAAGCTTTTATCTTCTATAGAGAAATTTCCTCTAGTTGGTGGTAAGGCCGGACCAGTCTCGTCAAGTATTACCCATCTTTTTTTACCTCTAGAATATAAGAAAAAATGGATGAATTGGAACTTTCTTTTGTTAATCCCTAGTCTTTGGTAAGTGAATGAGGTCCATATACTGTACACGAAGACATCATGTTGGTTTGTGCTCCAGTTGTCAATAAGGTATCAAAATAACACCTTTAACTTCCTAACATAACATAACCTAAAACAATGCACTTCCTTCATGGGACAGCTAGGTTAGGTTAGGTTAGGTTAGGATAGATAGGTTTGGTTGGTTTATCTTATCTACAATAAATCATCGGTCGGTGGGAAGTGTTTGTGGGTATGACATAATGTTGAGGTAAAACAGCTAAACTAAAACTAAAAAACAAAAAAAAAATTCTTTGCAAAGTTGCCAGTTTTTCACGTGTATGGAGCAGAAATGTTTATGTCCACGATATATTTATCTTTTAGTGCTAACATAAACACTTAATAATGGAAAGATCGGAAAAACAAAAGAAACTTGCAACATGTCCACTTTTTTTTATATTCTCAAGGTAACAAATAAGTTATATTCTACAGAAATTTTTCCTGAAGTTGCTCCTCTCCATGAGTCCGTGTTCTTGAATATTACTAATATGAAGTTTGTCGTCTACAGAAACCTTAAATTGACTATTTTTTTAATCCTAGAAATGAACTTTATCATATAAATCCGAAATCTAAAATAAGTGTTAAAGCTGCACACGAATCTGAAGTAATAGTATTTTGATGTAAGTTTACGTCTGTTACTTTGGATTTCACTCTCAAATGCTGAACTGTACTCTGTTACCATCCCAACACTCACATAAACCACTCATTCATAAAACACTCACATAAACCACTCATTCATAAAACACTCACATAAACCACTCATTCATAAAACACTCACATAAACCACTCAGTCATAAAACAGTCACATAAACCACTCATTCATAAAACAGTCACATAAACCACTCATTCATAAAACACTCACATAAACCACTCATTCATAAAACAGTCACATAAACCACTCATTCATAAAACACTCACATAAACCACTCATTCATAAAACAGTCACATAAACCACTCATTCATAAAACACTCACATAAACCACTGAACGACACAAAGAACAGAACACCCCTTCCTCTCAAGACATATTTTACCCTTATTTGATGACTTACGTGTGAGATATAAGCCATATTTAATATAGTGCCGGCCGCTGGTATGAAGGAGATAGGCCCTGAGACCGTCCTCCTCTCCTCTCCACCAATCACAGACCAGCGGAACCAAAATATAAACAAGGAGTTCGTCCACCAAGTATCCGGATTTATTTGGAGCGCTTACAACACCAATCGTTAAAGGTATACTGTTATTAAAGCTCTTCAACATCTTTCTTTAAAATACGTAATTAGGCTAGTTATTACACCAGTCCATCATTCTTTAAAGATTATTAAATATACAACTTTGGAAACACCAACTGGTCAGGAACCTTCTTCAGGTGGCGGTGTTTGGATAACTGTACTTGTAGCCCCAACCCGCTAAGGTACGGAGGGCGGGTCTCCACTGGTAGTGTGTGGACATAGGCCTGACCCACGTCCACAAATGGCATGGTTGGCCACACTCTTGGCCACTCCTGTAACACACAAAGGGGATGAACCTCTGATACGACAGCGTCATCATACACGGCCGTAGGAATGTCGCAGCACTTAATGTATTTACCCAGTTTCCACACGAGTCACAAGTGATCGCCTTACTGTTCTGCCTCACAGCAGTCAGAGACAATTGGGTCACTTGGTTTGTTGATGAATGACTGTTTGTTGCTGTTAACGCCATTACGGTTTACAGTGGGCGATAATAGCGTGCTGTAAAGTTGCCCCTCACTAACTTATTCTATGGTAGAGTGATCGAGCGACACCATAGCTCCACTTGTCCTTAAATATCATATTAACTTCCACTAACAAATCGGGACCAGTATCTACCATCATTCATTAAACTAAACCGAAAAAATCACCATTTACCAAACCACCATTCCTGCCAGCCGCCATCTTGAAGCACCCTAACTTATGGTCTACCTCGTCTTCAGTCATCCTGTGCGGAGGTTTACACGGTTACCAGTTATAGGGGAAGGTTAATGTACAGTACATCACAATACTGGTATCACTGTACTTGTACATCATAATACTGGTACCACTGTACATCACAATACTGGTACCACTGTCTGGCCTCCATGCCCCACACCTTCGCTGATGACACACACAGTGTTCTGCACACCGTCACTCAGTTAACTCTCCCCCGTGTAGTCGGTTACACGTGAAGGCCACAGCTCTTTCTCACTTTGTACGAGTTGCAGTTGTTTGAAGTTGGTTCCTTTTAGAGAGTTTGAGAATTGTCTGTCTTAATTACTGTACGATTTTATAGCAGCGTGTGTGGAGGGATGGGGGGTGGTGGGTAAGGTGTGTGTGAGAAAGGTGAGGTGAGGTATTGCTTTAGAGTCACTGGTCTTCTCTCTCTCTACTGTACGTCCAGCGTCAACTCTATACCTATATGAATACTGAAGAAACTTTGGTAATTCTCTACAGAAAGGTTAACCGTTAATATGACGAACTACCGGGGTCAGAGGTCAAAGGTTGTGTTGATTTTCTTGTTTGGTTATAGTAAGAAATGAAACATTATCCGTAAACAAGTACGTTTGTGAAGTGTCAGAATCTATCTGGATACTCAAACATTTCAAAGTCCTTTTTGTAAATAGCACGGAGACGATCACGCTGGTAGTGAGAGAGTTGTGCCATGTAGGAGTGGAGGAGCGCTGAGGTGTTGGTCAGGATAAAGGGAGGAAAGTGGAGGTACTCTGGAGCTCCTATAAGCCGCAGAAACCTTTCTGAGTCTTCGACTACAGTCTCATACTTGGCGATCACGTCATACTGGATGTCACACGGGAAACACAACTGGTGGTATGGTCTCCAGTGCTCGTCAAAGCCGTTAACAGGACGGTCAATAACGTAACTAACAAACTCAGGGAAGGTAACACCCTCACCAGACTTTGGTATGTCTGCTTCACTGACATTCTTGCGGTAAGATTTCATAATATCATAACCATAGTGTTCGATGAAAAAATTGTCTTTGCCCTCGAACTTATCTCGGTAAGCGAACTTATCTCGGTAAGCAGAGAGTAGCCGCTCGTAGGGGTCACGTACCACCAGGAACTTGGTGTAGTTGTGGAGGTTCTGCAGCAGCACTCTAGTCTGGGGGAAAATAAACTTATAAGAGTGACATAAAAAGTGATGTGTATATATGACGTGTTGCTCAAATACACTTAATCATAATTATATTAGAAACAGGACAAATAATTCATGCTATCGCGTACCATAGTGTTGTGTGAGGTAAACCTTATTACAATACTACCTGTGTACAGTATTCACCTACCTAAACTTACTTGTACAGGTAATGACAGCAGTTGAGAACAAAACAAATGGTTATGAGTGGAAGGTGAAGGGGAGAGACAGACGTGAAGAAGGAACTACAATATTAAAATGATAAATAGATGTGGTTGGTGTGTGAGGTGATCTGGGTATCAGGTAAAAGAGAGCAGCAACGGGTAAAGGAGGAAGCATGGCGGCATACTACATCTTACATCCATCACCAACACTTACACTCTTGGACTGAAGTACTAACATCATCTTTCGGTGTAACTTGTGAGGGACGAAGTTAGGAATCTTCAAGGGTTCTGTCTCCTTGCTCAGGCCTGTAAGGATCATCCACAGCCTCTTCCAGTTGGTACAAACGACCTGAAAGAATACACTTGGATAAAATGCTGTTTAACCTAATATAATACAATACATGTGTAGCATTATTTAACCTAACCTAACCACATTAAAACAACGAACCTTGGGCACGAAGCAATAGATGGCCTTGTGAGTGTTGTCAACCAAGAGAGAGAAGATGGCAGAACTTCCCTTACCCCTGGGCAGATTGTCTCTGAAACCATCGTGCCTTCCCCCACAAGCTCTGTCAACAGCTTCTTTCCGTCGACGCTGCTCCAACTTCCACGGATCATCGTCACCACCACCATCCCCCGCTGCCTTCGTTGTCTGGGTCGTGTTTACTATGGGTGATGTCTTATTGTTTTCTGTTAGCATGAGAACACACGAGTCACCCAAATGAAATGTAACTTAAAAGAATTGTGGGTTTTTTTTTATCTAATTTCATATAATAGTTTGAGTGTTTGATATAATACTATTAATAAAATCTCTGAGGTACCCACACTCCCTCCAACACACACACACACACACAGCACCCCCCCCCCCCACGTCTCTCAGTAAGGTAGAGTGGCCAGATCACCAAATGACTCAGCAAATGCTAAAGCGGTCAATGCACTTACGGTATTTTTCAAATTTTTTCTTCAACAGGTAACAGTGGCCTTTGAATACGCACGAAAAGGCTGCATTAATTACCCTATACCACCTGGGGACACCTGTGTACTGTACTGATTAACTTGGAGAGTGGTGGATGGATAACTGATTAACCTGGTGGGTGGTGGATGGATGACTAATTAACCTGGTGGGTGGTGGATGGATGACTGATTAACCTGGTGGGTGGTGGATGGATGACTACTTAACCTGGCGGGTGGTGGATGGATGACTGATTAACCTGGTGGGTGGTGGATGGATGACTAATTAACCTGGTGGGTGGTGGATGGATGACTAATTAACCTGGTGGGTGGTGGATGGATGACTACTTAACCTGGTGGGTGGTGGATGGATGACTACTTAACCTGGCGGGTGGTGGATGGATGACTGATTAACCTGGTGGGTGGTGGATGGATGACTAATTAACCTGGCGGGTGATGGATGGATGACTTTAAGATTATTGCACTCGACCCAAAAACTCTCCTCCTGATTTTGTTTTCATTTTTACCTCATTTTTACCTCTCTGGGCGCTCACTGACCTCTTCCCGTGCCTCTCCCCGTGACCTCTAACACTGGCCTCTCCCCCTGACCTCTAACAATGGCCCCTCTCACTGACCTCTTTCCGTGACCTCCCCCCCTTGTCCTCTACCCCTGACCTCTAACAATGGCCTCTCTCACTGACCTCTTTCCGTGACCTCCCCCCTTGTCCTCTCTCCCTGACCTCTAACTTTAGGTGTAGAGGTCAAGACGTTGCCCAAGACGGTGGTCACAAGGTCATCACGCCTGTGGGAATGCGAGAATAATGTTAAGAAAACTGTTATCAAATGCTAACTCTATATGTGAATTAATATAAAACATAATATGAAGCTTAACTCAATATAAAGCTTTATTAACATAAAGCTTTAGTCACTACAAAGCTTTAGGCACTATAAAGCTTAATTACTATAAAGCTTTACTCAATATAAAGCTTAATTAACATAAAGCTTTAGTCACTACAAAGCTTTAGGCACTATAAAGCTTTACTCAATATACAGCTTAATTCACATAAAGGTTTAGTCACTACAAAGCCTTAGCCACTATAAAGCTTAATTAGCATAAAGCTTTAGTCACTGCAAAGCTTTAGCCACTATAAAGCTTAATTAACATAAAGCTTTAGCCACTATAACTCACCACAAAAAGCAGGTAACAGTTACAATCAACACAGGTAGCACCTTCCTCGGTCGCCACACCATCTTCCTGAAGCGAAAATATACACAAAGCTTTATTTTCTGTATTAATAATAAGCTTAAGATTGTGGTGGTGATGGTGTAATGGTGTATGTTGTATGGTGTAAAGGTGTAATGGTGTATGTTGTATGGTGTAATGGTGAATAGGTTACCTGCCAGAACTCCTGTAGCTGCCTCATGTAATCAGTACACACCACTGACCTGAATGTCTGTCTGTTTGTCTAGTCTTTCTGTCTCACTCTGTCTCTGTTTGTAACTATGTCTCACTCACTGTCTGTTTCTCTCTCTCTCTCTCTCTGTCTCTGTCTATGTCTGTCAGTCTGTCTCTACAGTAACAACACAACCACCTCCTGAATACCAGTTAGACCAATCCCAGGAGACTCCACTGGGGGCACTGTCAGAGGCTTTGTTAATCGTCGAGGTAAATCTAACTAACCTAACCTAACCTAACCTAACCTAAACCATCAATTTAATCTGGAACGAGTTGGTCTTGCTGAAATAGAAAACACTCTCTTGTGAATTAGCAGAATATATACTATATGAACTGATTCCAAGTCCATGTACTCTGATGAAAGTTCAAAACCTGTGAGTACAACTTGAGTATATCGTCGTTAGTGGCTTAGAATTACAATACTTGACCTTAAAGCCTTATACCAATCACCATTACCAACTACTACTACTACTACCACAATCATAAATCACTATTACTACCAGTACTATTAATCATCACTATTATCATTACTATTATCCACTATTAACCATTACGCCAACTCAGTAATTGAACATAGTTGATGACAATTAGTTTCATAACACCGTCTTGCCCCTTCTTAGCGATCAACCTCAGGACGCCTTTATTGGGACAGTTAAGTCAACAATGAAAGGACTGGGGTGTGTGTGTGTGTGTGTGTGTGGGTGGGTGTGTGTGTGTGTGTGTGTGTGTGTGTGTGTGTGTGTGTGGAGTTATACACATTTCATATAGCTGTAACTCTCTCTCTCTCTCTCTCTCGCCACTTGTCAGCTCACTAAACGATCGGGAAGTCAGGACACTATTGACAGGTACTAGACAGATATTTAGACAGGTACTGGACAGATACTAGACAGGTAGTGGACAGATAAGAGACAGGTGTGACAGATATTAGACGGGGTACTGGACAGATACTAGACAGGTACTGACAGAAACTAGGTTAGGTTGGGTTGGGTTAGGTTAGATTAGGTTTTCCCACAAGCAGGTAATGTTCTTATATTATAACGTTATTTTCTGTCAAGTAACCCCCCCCCCACACACCGACCCTGAAGCAGGGAGTATAAATTTGAACAGACAGACGAGGCTGATGTCTTCACTGTTTCTCTCACAGCAGCTAACAACACGACCTGAACCACACGATATCTGCCGCCACACTGAGCCTCCACCCCCGTCCTCTCTCCGTCCGTCCGTCCGTCTGTTTGTCCCTCCCTCACTTGGTCCCCCCTTCCCCCCTTCCTCCCTTTGACCCCCTTAAACATATCACCACCTTCCCTCCCTCCTCTCTCACATGGTGTTTCCAACCTGAACGCTCTCATAGCTTACCTTACTCTCGGTCACCCCAACGGGATGATACCATGACCAAGGCGGCAATTCTTGTTGTATTGGAGACGTGGCTCATAGTTCGATCGAGAGCTAGCGACGGCGACGGCGTGTGTAGTCACCGCCCAAGGATGACCTCGAGGCAGTATGGGTTGATCCAAGACACGCCCTATACTTACCGGGACCTCCTACCTCCTCCAGAGCAACGTAACGTGGTCACTGTCCTGTACGTCTGTGGCAGCTCAACAAGATCATCATGTCGGCCCAGTTGTGTGTTGGAGGTGGTAGTGGAGGAGGAGTGTGGTGGTGTAGGAGGGGGTGTGGTGGAGAAGAAGGAGTGTGGTGGTGGTGGTGTTGGAGGAGAGGGAGTGTGGTGGTGGTGGTGGTGTAGGAGGGGGTGTGGTGGAGGAGAAGGAGTGTGGTGGCAGGAGAGGGAGGTGGTGGTGGTGTGGTAGGAGGGGTGTGGTGGAGGAGAAAGAGTGTGGTGGTGGTGGTGGTAGGAGGGGTGTAGTGGAGGAGAAGGGAGGTGGTGGTGGTGGAGGTGTAGGGAGGGTGGTGGGAGGAGGAGTGTGGTGGTGGTGGTGGTAGGATGGGGTGTGGTGGAGGAGAAGGAGGTGGTGGTGGTGGTGGTGTAGGGGAGGGGGTGTGGTGGAGGAGAGGGAGGTGGTGGTGGTGGTGTTGGTGGAGATTATGACAGACTGTGCAGTAGTTAATGTGAGAGTAAGACCCAGTGTTAATATTATAAACACTAACATCATAAACACGGTCATTGCCTAGTTAAAAAATATCTAATATTTTGGTCAAGATCCACATTTAATCAACTACAACACTAATACAACACCTTCACTACAACACTAATACAACACCTTCACCACAACACTAATACAACACCTTCACCACAACACTAATACAACACCCAGGTCATTGTTTTCCTAGCTGGATTGTGTCAGAGAATAAGCCTGAAGTTTATACGCAGTTATTCCCAACGCCTTGCTGTAAGACTAACAACGGTACAACACCACAATGAGACAATTTTGCGGTGGAAATAACAGCTCAACTTTTTTCTAAGTCATGTGCAAAAACCACCAGCCACAGATGATACAAAGTACAGTGCCGACGCCATATCTAAGCACCGTAACATAACCACTTATCCGCTGTACTATTCTGTAATTTCTTATGATTTACAGAGGCGTCCTCGGTGCTTCAATACCACAATTCCTGGGAAGAAACGGGACGCTTGATACGGTCAACCAACAGTAAAGTTTTATAAATATTGCCGTCAGAATAATGAAGTCTAGTTATTATCAGCCCTCTGGTGGTATAAGAAGGAGAATCAGGTTTATTTATTTTATTATCCTCGTGTCTATGTGTTCTTCCCGCCTCGACCTGTAACTTAATTGTGGTGATATTTTGAACTTGGTGACACTTCTGTTCTCTAATATATCAATGAACACGATCACCGCAAGGAACACACAACTACACAACATTCGTTTTGTATATTTATATTCTTCTCAAAAACTTTAGAGTATCCGTCAGGGCTCGCAGTTATATAGATGTGTTACGGGAGATATTTGACTGAGGTAAATTTCCTACATGACCAGCCATTAACGCAATAGTTATATTGATACAAACACCTGCCTGGTATCATGCAATCAGTCGGTGATAGTCAGGTGGTGGGTTAGTGAGCGGCGATACGGACTCTTTTTTTAAGTTATTTTAGAAGGAACACCATCCACTACTCTACTCTAACGAGACGATACCTCTAGAATAAACACCTGACACCTCTGACTCCTCGTAATCAGCCCACAGTCCTCTTGATCTGTTAAGGCTTTCGTGGACCTGTGACGGGTCGAGAAACAAGAACGTTGACACTACCCTGAATATCATACACGATAAAGTGATCTATTTGATTGATTAATATATGCCCAAGGTCAGACCCACTGGCTTCAGCTCTACAGGGACACCGTCATGCATGAACCAGGAGATAGGTCGCGACAAGTGATGAGCAGGACAGAAGGATGTATGCGGTATCCTAGATCACAGTAAACGCTTCTGCGCTTCACCTTACACAAGGATGTAGGGGAGTGCCCAATAAATAAAAAAAAAAAAATCACAAGAACCAAACAGCTTCAGAGGCAGATTGTAAACGCAAAAACGAAATTAACGACACGTGTGGGTGTATCAGATCTGAGACTTGAGGATGGTAGTTAGGCAGATCAGGAGAAGGCGACGCTAAATAAACAAGACAACTTCCCGGCCGCTCGTTTGTTTAACCCACTTTTTCCGAGTTGATGAGGTCATGCTTTACCTTGTGAAACGTTCCTCTACTCTTTATATACTGTAAGGGGAGACCATTAAATAGTTGTTTTTATTTCACTATCTCAGTTGATACATATTTGTAAGATGTTTTCTCTTTTATAACATATCACTTTCTTTAATTTTGTTTAGTTATGTTTTCTAAGTTATTTCTGTCTCATGTAATCTTCTTAAATTTTCTTAGTTCTATTATATTTTATTTTAAGAACATAAGAAAATAAGGAGTCTGCAATAGGCCGGTTGGCCTGTGCATGGCAGCTCCTGTCGAGAGTTACTACCACTCTCTATCATCCATGAATCTATCCAGCCTCCTTTTGAAACTTTCCAGAGTTCCCGCACTTACTACAAAGTTGCTAAGCTTGTTCCACTCGTCCACCACCCTATTTGTGAACCAGTTTCTTCCTATCTCCCTCCTAAACCTAAACTTATCCAACTTGAATCCGTTGCTCCGAGTCCTATCCTGCTCGGATATTATGAGAACTTTATCTATATCCCCTTTATTGATTCCTTTCACCCACTTAAATACTTCTATCATAACTCCCCGCACTCTTCGTCTTTCTAGGGAATGCAAGTTAAGTTTCTTTAACCTATCCTGATATGGAAGGTTTCTAAGTCCCGGAATCATTTTTGTCATTCTTCGCTGCACCGACTCTAGTGAATTTATATCCATTCTATAATAGGGGCACCAGAACTGAACCGCATAATCGAGGTGCGGCCTGACTAGCGCAAGATATAGTTGCAATAAGACCTCTGCACTCTTGTTACTTACACTTCTAGATATAAAACCCAATACTCTGTTTGCCTTATTTCGAACATTAACGCACTGTTTTCTAGGCCGTAGGTCCGGGCTTACAAGTACCCCTAGGTCTCTTTCACAAGTCGACTTCTCTAGGTTGATGTCGTTAAGGCTGTATACATTATCAGTATTTGTTCCTCCAATATTAAGTACACTGCACTTGCTGGTGTTGAATTTCATTTGCCATTTTTCAGACCACCCCTGCAGTTTATTTAGATCCTCCTGTAATGCATTTGCATCCTGCCCTGAATTAATTTGCCGCCCTATTTTGGTGTCATCCGCAAACTTGCTTATGTCACTGCTGATCCCAGTATCTAGATCGTTTATGTAGATTATGATTTACTTGCTCATTCTTTTATAAGCTATTTTCTAAGTATTTCAATGTTTTTATGTATTTAAGTATTTCAATATTCTTTACGTTTCTTTTCGATATTATATATTTCCTTGAATGTCATCATTTGTTTATTATATTTTCCTCTTAATTATTTCAGTATTTATCAGTGTTTTTGTGTGTATATCCTCTTATTACTATTCTCATATGTGTTTAGTTATAGTCTGTTCAATGGATTAACCTGGGAAAACCACATCATTCTTTAACATCATCTCTTAGTATACTCATTATACTTACACGGTAGACTGCCACCACCACCCAGGCGTTTATTAGAATATAACTGGTAACATTAAAGTGTTAGGTAGCGTGGTAGACGAGCTAAGGCACGTGGGTTACTGTGTTTATTTTCTGAGAACCAATAGTTAGAAGGAGCGGTGATACCCACAATACTAAATCAACAGTCATTAAAATTAACTGTGAATAGTATGACAAGTTGAACCTTTATCCACAACAAAACTCGGGTCAATCACCGATTACTTTACTGCAACACTCAGACAAGAACGGACCACTAGGTCTTACTTTAAAAATAACAAAATAGATCTTCAATTAACATTCAATTTATACCTCCTTAGGGGAATTGTGATAGATGATTGACAATAAAGATGGCCACTTTACACAATTATTAATAGCACAGTGATATTAACAACTTCTCCTAGCGACTTGTGATTACGTCTCAAAGTGTGTTGACCTTCGAGATAAGACGAGACAAGTGATGGTCGTCACGAGGCCTATAATATACTGTAGACTCTATATTAAAGACCCCGCCTCCTACGACTTCCAGCAATAGAGAGAACATGAAGACTAGTTTATACTGTTGACAAGAAGTCCATTTAATACCAACAAAAAGATGAGGTGTTACGGTACAATGAACTACGAAGATAAACTTTAAACAAAGATATGAACTTAAAACATTCACAATAAAACGCGACTAGACTACTGTACGCTGTTCCTTCATCCTGGGGGCAGTGGGGTGACCTTGAGTCTGCGTGCTGTACTGAATATTTAGCAGATACTGTTATCTTTAACCTTACCTAAACCTACTTCACATTTATCTTGTATCTGTAGTTACATAAGCGATTATTTTCCTCGTATTTTCAAGTTCAAATAATGTGTCTGTACCCGCCGACTCGAGCACCACTTATTTATCTTATTTATTTACTACATTACAAACACTTCATATCTGTCTGTAAATTACTTAGCAACACTGACATGCATAAATTCCTGTCAGTTTTATACCTAATTTATAATAACATTTGATTTATTTTATGTTGGGAATACGATTTTTTTTTATAAAGATCTCGTGGCTGCGTCCGATCCTGCCAGTTGACCATCGGCAGGAACTATCACGTCTCCTTAAATATAGAAATTATCCAAGTGCAGGAGAAACTGACTCAGGGTTACATGACTTAGTGTACAATATAAACAATGCTCATTCCGTAAACAGTAGTTATAACTCAGGCCAAAATAAGGCTACTTCAAGAGTGTTATGATTATTGGTACATCCTTGTCATTGTAATCCAAGCATTAAACTTCAGGTGATTCCCATAAGTACTGTAAACAATGGCACATAAAGAGTCAGTTTAAAATTACATTATCCTCTTCTCCTTCTTCCTAGCCACGCAGGTCACGGTCAGGCCAGGAGACACAACCCAGGCTCAGACGACGTCCAAGGGAAGGAACCTCACCCGGAACATCCTTTACAGAGTAGATCCAAACGTCAACCAGGTGAGATGTGTTCTACGTAAGCTTGTGTTTGATCTCCTTCACCTGTTCATCTCGCACTGTTCCTCGGTATGCTAGGTGGTTCTCGTTCTCCCTCTCTCTTAGCTCGTCCTTCAGCTCGTCCTTGGAACAGTGAGTCAAGTCCTTACCCTTACCGTAGAAGATGTCCTCGCGGTATACCTTATTCTTCTGTCTGTAAGTCCCGTGAATCTGTGGAGGCCGATAGTCATGATAAGTTAGGTTGGGTTGAGATAGGGTTAGGTTAAGTTAGGTTAGGTTAGGTTAGGAGAGGCTAGATAGGCATAATGGCCCTGAATATTATAGCTTATTTAAGGATAATGCCGTAAAACAGAACATCCTTGGCTAAATATCTTTAACCCTTATCTGAACACCTTTGTGACTTATCTCAAGTAGTGGTGTTAAACTGACCTTATCCCAGAGTGCACAGTTGAAGCCAAAGTTGACGTGAAAGTACTGGTGGTGGTTATCGTGAAAGATGCAGTCGGGTTGCCAAGGCTGCCACCAGTAGGCCTTAAAGTTGATGCCTGAGTGGTCAATGATCCCGTGGTAGTATAAGTACATCAGCAACACCACGAACACCGCTGTGGGAGGCAAGGTAAAGGTGGTTAATGAGAGGTAGAGGTGGTTAATGAGAGGTAGAGGTGGTTAATGAGAGGTAGAGGTGGTTAATGAGAGGTAGAGGTGGTTAATGAGAGGTAAAGGTGGTTAATGAGAGGTAGATGTGGTCAATGAGAGGTAGAGGTGGTTAATGAGAGGTAGAGGTGGTTAATGAGAGGTAGAGGTGGTTAATGAGAGGTAGAGGTGGTTAATGAGAGGTAGAGGTGCGGGGTTATGTAGTTCCATTGGTTATATAATTATCAACTGCAGGGAGACAAATTATACAGAGAGAGAGAGAGAGAGAGAGAGAGAGAGAGAGAGAGAGAGAGAGAGGTGACAAATGGTAAACATAGAGACAGACAGACAGGGTGACAGAGATAAACTCACTCCAATGGACAGGGAAGATGACCATGGGACTGATAAGAACTAGTTGCATGTGCAGGAACTCAAAAGGGTGGATGGCAGTGACGCTGAAGGCTGTAGGCTGCTTGTACTTGTGATGTAGCTTGTGGAACTTCTTGTAGAGGAAGGGTAGATGGTACATGCGGTGGGTCCAGTAGGTAAGGTAATCCTGAATACAAATAGTAAACAAAATCATGTTAATATTTCATCAATTAGTCAACTTCCGGAAATTATTATTATTATTATTTTTTTTTTTAGAAATTACATAACGAGTCATTGAAACTAAAAACAAATATTTAAAATCGGAGGAAGAAGAATAAGAAGAAAAGGGCTGATAAGAAAAAGATAAGGCAAGAGATAGTGAGAAGAACAAGAACCAGAAAAAAAAAGATGAAGTTAGGAGGAGAAAGGAGGAACATAAGTATAGTAAGAAGAAGAAGGAAAGAGAGAAGGAAGTATAGAAACACGTAATAGTAGATATAACTAAACACATTACCTGCCAGACGAACACGACGGGCCAAGAAGCAAAGTACCACAACCATCCATACTCAGACACATCGTAGTAAATAGTAGACTTGCCGCCGTTCATGAGGTAGCAAGAGACCAGGGCTGAACACGTCGACCCCAGCAGTAGAGAGAAAGACCCCAGAAGGATCTCGTGACGCTCCAACTCCGGCGAGAGGAACTTATTTGGCTGACACTTCCATTCGATAGCTCGGCCACGTTGGCGTATGTAGTAATACCACTGTTAGGAAGGAAGAGTGTCATGTTAGCCAGATTTTGTACTTTTCACAATTTTTCAGTTTTTTTTTTCTTTTCGTTGAAGTCTTTCCTTACAAGTTCGCTCGTTAATGTACACTCTAAACTGACTGCCTGACTGACTGACTGACTTAATTCTATCTAGCTTGCGACATTTAAGATATCTTATTAATTTACGATCTAGGTTATGAGGGGTATAGAGAAGTCAGCATTAGATATATTGTGTAAGACGAAGATTGTGAAGTGAAGTTTGTAGGTTGGAGGTTAGGTTAAGTTACATTAGGTTAGTTATGTTAGGTTAGGTTAGGTTAATATTACGATGGTTAATCTTAAAGTTAAATAAGGTAAGGGGGGTTAGGTGAGATTAGGTTAATATTACGTTGGTTAATCTTAAAGTTAAATAAGGTAAGGGGGTTAGATTAGGTTAATATTACGTTGGTTAATCTTAAAGTTAAATAAGGTAAGGGGGGTTAGATTAGGTTAATATTACGTTGGTTAATCTTAAAGTTAAAGAGGTTAGGGGGCTAATCTTCAGGTGATCCAGAGATACAGCAGTGAAGTGAGGACTAACATGCAGGAACCCGCCGATGCCAAGGTAGAAGATATAGGAGATGGTAGTGGCGGCGACCCAGTAATACCCGAACCCCTGTAGCCTGTAGTCAGCCAGGTTGAAGCCCAGGAAGTCTGACGAGGTGGTGATGCTGGTGTTGGAGATACTACCTGACTCCTGCTGCTGCTCCCCGTACTGGAAGGCTTTGAGGAAGTGAACGAGGATGTGAAGCCACTCCCCTGCAACACGAGACAACCTGACGTCATAATGTCATCTAAGGTCAACTGTTGTTATTGTTATTGTTGTTATTATTATTATTTTTATTATTATTATCATTATTATTATTATTATTGTTGTTGTTATTGTTATTATTTGTATGGACAGCCCTGATAACACAGAGTTGTTGTGAGTGACGGCGATACGTGAAGGTGCTACACATTGAGTTGGAAATTTCCCTCGTCCACCGTGTGTGATTTAAGGTTTACAAACACACACACACACACACACACACACACACACACACACACACACACACACACATGTTTCCCAATGTGTCATACTGTGTTTCTTGTCCACTGTGGTAGAGCGGACGGGCGTATCTCTCACTACTGCAATACTGTATGTCAAGGGCTCGAGCCTCGGCCCAGACACGTGATAATATTCATCCTTAAATCTAATCTTCACGTTACTGCATTTACAAATTAATTACTAATATAAATATGAAGTGTCGTTCAATCTTATCCAGAAATATTAACCACAATGGTATTTTATATGTACTATTACCGTACTACATATTATATTCACCCTGTACTTTAGGTTTAAATGAATTATCGTTTTTTATTAAAATATTAAAAAAATAAATAAAAATGGGGAATATGGGGAAATTTTTGGCCTCTGGATTTGGGGAATTTTTGGCCTCTGGATTTGGGGAATTTTAGGCTGAGTGAGGGTGAGGAATCCCTAGTATGGCTCTTTTACGTAACACAGGACACAAGACACAGCTGTTACAGGGGCGTCCTCGATAACACCCACCACTACCGGACTGACGCTGGGATAAACAAGTGTTTGTCTGTCATCCTCCAGAGCCAAGTTGTTTTCGTCCTTGTGTTTAATTTATCTCCTGACATACACAAAAAAGGAACTTGTGATCTTTGTCAATATTTTGGGCTAATTTCATCTCTAAGTACCATTTGGCTGATCTAATTTCCTGGTGGGCTACATTTAGAGACTCTATTGTATATTACATAATCTACATAATGACCTGAGCTTCGGTATTTCCTCCACAATTGGTATTTCTTTTTTTTTTTCACAGGTGTTTCTACATCAGTGAATCATCCACCTGGTCTTGTTTCCTCTTCTTGTTTTCCGGGGTAAATATTCCTCTCCTCAAGGCTTTCCATCAAATCTTGCCTTGATTCGTCTGTCTGTCTGTCTGTCTCCTCTTTAACGATTTCCTCCCAGTTAATTGTCTGTAGTTTGTCCCTCATCAACTGGTAATCACCATGGTTAAAGTCATAGTATTTCTCCTCAATTATTTTTTCTCTTGACTATCAAAGACTGTATTCCATCATAGTATATAGTCGATGGTTAGCGTTAGTTTATCCCCGACGAGTTAGGTGAGTCTTATGTGCTGTTACCGCCCACAGGATGAGTATCGGGTGCACAATGAAATAGCCAATGTCCGCGGGAAGCAGTAAAGTGTAGGGTAGCAGCTGCATGGTGGTGGTGGTGGTGAGGGTGGTGGTGGCGGTGGTGATGGTGAGGGTGGTGTTGGTGTAGTGGTGGTGGTGGTGGTGATGAACAAAGGATTCACGGCTTCCTGTCTACCTAAGAAAGGTTCTCTACTTAGAATTGGGGCTCACCTGTCACATGTTCGTAACCTAACCTATAACTAACCGAACACTTTACTAACACGTTAACAACCTAACCTAACTTCAAAACTAACCTTACCATACCGAACACTACCCAAACCTAACCTAACCTAATGCTAACCCAACACAATACCAACCCGTAACACTAACCTAACCTAACCAAACTTCACCTCTTCTAATCCCCATAAATAGCGTTAGGGGGTTTATTCATCAGGTGAAATTAGCTGAGGGGGGAGCTAATCTAAAGCTATCACACTCAGCTATGACGGTCGAGTCGGTGTTTACCCCTACTCTAAGCGTCCCATCCGCTTTCTTTGCAGAGGCTTAGGTCCCTGGATCATAAAAGACTCCGGTACATAAGAGTCCGGTATACTTGAGTTCTCCTTGGCTGTGACCTTTGTTGACCTCTGACAGTGAATCACCAGCTGACCCTTATCCTCTGACATACTTCCACGCCCTTAATGCATGAGTCATAAAGGCAAGCATGAACTCCGCATGCTTCCCAGTTGGGCGCTGTAAATGCTTCTGCGCTTCACCTTGCACAGGATGTAAGGGGGTGCCCAATAAACTAGCCCCCTCCGGGGCAATCTGTAATCTGTATCTGACATACTTAGGTCAGCATTCGTTCAGATAAAAGTGATAAAGTGGATTTTTTATCACCTCAAGTGTACCCTTAATGTAAAGAAATGCTACCACTTGAAGATTAAACACCCCAGCTTATTTCACCTGAAGATTGAACCCCTGAAGTGGCCCCTTGAACCTCCTGGCAGGTTAAGTTAGGATACCCCCCTCCCTCCTCCCCTCTCACTCCCAGTCTCTTATTGCCCTACGTGACGAAGTGAGTGTTCTTAATTGTAAAAGGAGAAAGAAAAAACTCCTGCCTTAACTCATTCACCAACGAAAAAAAAATCCCGTGAAATTAGTAAAATACAAAACTATGTATCTATAGTGATCATATTAGCATCCTGTTTGTTTACTTCGGCAATGTGAGGTATCGTGTTCTTCCAAGATTAGGACTCTTTGAGTTGGCTAACGTATACGGGGTAAATATAACTGTGTTTGGACTTTATAGCTAGTAATAATCATTTACATGTTTCTTAAAGAAAGGGCATTTAAAGTTATACAGTTACACAAGATGTAAATTAAGTTTTGCGCAATTGAAGATAAAATATCAGACGTTTTCTGGGAAGTCCATGTGTGACTTGTCACGAGAGGACGTGAAGCCACGATCTTTGGCTTCATTTCCTGTGACGTCTTGTTGGCTTAGATAATACATTTTCAGTACAAGTTTACTTAAAACACCTAATTTTATGTATAGTATTGGTGCATTAAGGATTCCGGGTGTAAATTTTAACGTGGAGGGAATAGTCAAGACCAAATTAACTTCCCGACTCATATATTTAGACGAAAACCATTTATTTTATTTTTTTTACTTAAACCACAAGTTTGGGTTAAATTAGGTTAGCTTAGATTTGTATATGTTTTGGGTAAATAAGGTCCTGTATACGTGTCTAGCGATTGATTTTTGTAGATTTGGCTGAAGCAAATAATGGAGTACTTTGTGGTTGTTGATGGTACAGTACAGTTCACCTTACTTGCCTCAAATCCTCTGGTCAGATGTGTGTGTTACCCAGTATGACTCACATGGCAGGTCCCCCGGGTACTTCGGTTCCTTCCTTATACTAACACTGGACAATAAAAGTCCTAAGAAAGAGAAGGACCAACCGCCCGCCCGGCCGGCTAGGAGTGTAGTAATAATTTATAATAAAAACATAAGAGACAGGATCCCCAGCCAGACTAGTACACCCCGCCGGCACTGTACGTGGTGACCGTGGTTGAGGTGCAGTCTTTTATCTTTCACTTACTAGAAATATTCATCGTAAATACCTTGACCCCCGGGCCGCCATGCATCCAAGTCTTTGATATTGTTTGATTATCTGTCTGATTATTTTCACATGAAAGATACACACACACACACACACACACACACACACACACACACACACACACACACACACATTTACCCAGTACTAATCAACAGTGTGTAACAGAGACGTGACCGACCGTCCAAGCGGCTAACGAGAGATTAATGGCATGAAGAAAATAGTGCAAAAATAAAGTAAATGTTACGTGCTTGAAACAAAACATAACTGAATTACAATGTCCCTCATCTTCGTCAGCTCCTCTGGTCCTCTGCACATCACAATATTATCATCATATTTTCTCTCTTCAGGTGTAACTATAAACCTTTACATACTGACTATTTCATTCAGGACATCCTTAGTTGCCATAACACTACCCAATGTTATCCCAGATAGGTCAGGTTAGGCTCACACTAGGACAGGATGGGTTAGGTTAGGTTAGTACTGGTGCTATTCATTAACTGTTTTATTATATATATCTGATCATAGTTTGCTTTGTACACATGACTCCAAATTTTTTGTAAAGCTGGGAAATGTGGACTAAATTGTTGTCAATCAGCAATTATCCTTAAAAAAGGTCAATATAGACTGACCCATGACTTGGTAGAATTTATTTGGACAAATGGTTCAGTGGCAGCAGTGGGAACACGGCCACAGACAATTTTATTCTTGATGTTACGTCTCGAAGGTCTTCCTCAATAGAATAAAGTTGTTTCTCTGTCCCAGTCTTTCCTTTGCTGCCGCTTAACCATTTGACCCATAATGTTTGATAAATTAAATGGCCCTTGATGCCCTGATAGTGGTGCAGCGCTCTACAGGGACGTCCCTAACTAGCGGAAACGACAGGATTCATCTCGGTCATGGTCCAAGGTCCCCGGCTCTCAGCGACCATAACTTGAAACACGACTGAGTTTAGCGCGAACCTGTTCCTGAATATTGTCAAACATGAGTACACGAGTATATCACGTCATTCAGATCTTCGGTCCCGCTAGAACAGGACACACTCCAGCGAGGAGGTCACCACCCACCTGCCGATCCGGATTCGTTATTCATAAGTAGATTCAATTAACAATTCCTTAGAAACAGAACACCCCCCCCCCCCCAACTATTTTGATGATATCCTTCTTGTAAGGTAGAGCAGCGGTGACGAAGTGGATACAGAGATCGCCACCTGTCCCAAGAATTGCTGGTTCGATCCCTGGACACCACCTCTCCAGTCATCTGTAAATGAATACCTAACTTTACAGTTTAGATAAATGAATCGGTCGAGTACAGTGCCGGCCGTGTTAGACTTGAAGTACTCAGATGCAGACAAATGGTTCACTACACACACACACGCTATTCCTTACCTCTAATTGTGGATCCCAGGATAAACACGGCTACACTGGCAATGAAAGTTCCCACGAAGTTAGGCAACCTGTTCCAATACTTTTCTAACGTGTCGCTGTATTTCTCCGCCCAGGTCACCGCCATAGGATCGTTGGGTATCCTGGAAACCATACCGGGAGATGTCTCTTGTGTAGATTTAGTCTCGTGGTCCATGATGGCGAGTTTTTATTGTACTTGTGATAATTGGCAGGTGTGTTTACGTTCTGGTGAGTAGGGTCATGGGGCCACTGGTGCAGGGCGAGAGATGTTCTCACCACGCCACACTGACCCTCACTGAGCCACCCAGCCACTGCCAGGCGTCCTCATCCTTTATCTTGTTATGTAATTACTCTTCTCCTAAAGTGTAAATAAACAACATCTTCTTCACGGATTTCGTTTTGATTACTGTTTTTACTTTCAAATCTTTGGTTAAATCGTTACGCTGTTTGTCAGTATTCGCGCACCTGTACTCTTTACTACACATACACTGAACTAACGTTACTATCTGTACATTTCACTATTAATTGACAGAAACCAAATACCCTCTTTATTATAATTAGGACCTGAACTACATACACGAACACTGATTTATATGTAATAGGTTTTCGCTGAATGTCAAGAGGCGACAGAAGAGTGTGTATATATTCTCGTATAGGTATTAAAGCGTGGGTTGGTGCAGCCGTTATATCCAGTTGCAGAAAATTCCAATAAGTTAATGCGAAGACTTATGGGGCCGGGGGAGGTGGGGGAGGAGTTTCGACGATGCACTTGTTTTCTGATGGGATTTTAGTTCATTTGGAATAGTGTGGTGGGAATTTGTCCTGTAAAAATCGTCTTTATTGTAATATTCCTGTATGTATGTATTTATATCTGATCCTGTACTAATATTGCACTACAAGGATTCCCCAGCACGAAGGGAAAGCATTCGCTAGGACAGCTGTGATGGGACTGTGGGGTACGAGATGTTTGGTTCACACTCAGGATGGGTTGGAGAAAGGAAACTCACAATGTGCTCTGTGTATACATGTTGTATTGAATGTACAATGCAGCTTAGTGGCTGGTGCTGGGAGGAGGCAGCATGGTTACAAGCGTGAGTAGGGAGAGCTGGTTGGTGAAGATGCTCAGAGGAGGACCAGCTTGTGGGTCGCCATGCTCCCCGGCGGGAGCGAGGGCCGCCAGGCAGGAGGATGAGGAGGTGTTGCTTGCTGGTTGGTGTAGGTAGAAAAGAGGCAGGTCACCACGAGGTCAAGTCTTATATAGCGGAGGTAGGCTTGGCTTAATAGTTGACCTCCGTGATGTATGGCGGCGCTGGTTGACCTAAGCCACGAGGCATACACTGGGGAATTCGCGGGGTCGGCTAGCCAGCGACAAACAGCGTTTGTAGGGGAGGAATCCACTACAGGACCATCTGTCCATTCTCCTCAAATCCGTCTCTGAGGTCTTGTAGTCATCGATGACGTCATGACGTGTTGTGTCAAGCACCACCAGAACAAACATACAGAAATAGTTCTTCACACAGAGGCTGGGAGACCTATGGGACAATCTATCACCTTAAGCTGTGGAATAGAGACAGTCATTCAATCAGAGTACCGTGTTCATGTGTGAGGGCTGGCGACCACAGTCCTCCACGCTAAACGTTCTCTGGTACTAGGCTTCTAAATAGCTCAACAACAATGGAGGTACACAGGCCACTGACCTCCTTCCCTCGTCATGGCCACCTCCAGTAAGTGGCCATTAGGTAAATACATAGACAGACAGACAGACAGGTGTTGAATTTTCCTCCCATGTCTTGCTGAATTTAGCAACGACACGAAGTTGGCTGAAAAAATTAAGGTAAAATTGAACTGAGACTCCCTGGAGGATCTTGGGGTAAATATCTTGGATCTCGTGTTGGGGCGAAGACAATAATAATAATAACAACAACAATAATAATAATAAGATGCAGTAGTAAAATTATTATACTCGTGCATATCATATCAACATTACATACAGTTAAAATAACAGATCATTGACCTGCAAGTCTCGTCCTTCTTACGTGCTCTTAATTAATTAGTCTCTGGCACTTACCAAGTGACACTGATCTTTATACAGTATATTGTTAGGGTGAACGGCCATCTAGGAATTATAGTCAGAACGACCATTTCGTTATTTAGATAGACTATTTTGTTATATAGAGTGGCCATTTTGTTATATAGAGTGGCCATTTTGGATCACCTGAAGAATCGTCACCCCAGAGCTTGGCAGGGTGACCATTCTTCAGGTGGGGTCAGTACCTTCCATGGTGGTTAATCTTCAGGCCTAAGCTAACCTAACCTACCCATTGTAATATGCATCGTGTATTTTGGAATATTAAGTAAACTATTTTGTATTTAGCAGTGTGCATTTTGCCATATTATCTATATTATGGGATGGGGTGGTGATTCTTCAGGTGGGAGAACCTGGGGTGACGATTCTTTAGGTGATCCGCCATTTTGTAATTTAGAGCTGCCATTTTGTTATTTAGAGTGGCCATTTGTTTTTTTGAAGTGGCCATTTGGTTTTTAAAGTGGCCATTTGGTTTTTAAAGTGGCCATTTTGATGTTAAGAGCAGCCACTTTGATATGCTAAGTACGGCCATTTTGAATATGTTGCAAAAAGCAGCCATAAGAATTTTTGGGACTTATTGTAAACCTATTTGGGGATTTTGTTTAGGGGTTAACCAGTGCAGTTGGCGGGTGTTCCGGTCTCCCTGGGCTTTCCCTTATAATGTGAGTTACACAGATACACAAGAAAGTATCTTTACAATTTTATGTTAGATAATACGACAAAGGATCGATGATTTTGACAACCCTACCGAGACAACAGGAGTCACAGTGTTTATTTTGGGGGGGGGCGTAAACTACCTCAGGGTGACGTTGTTGTGTTGACGGCTGCTTCTACACCTGCAGGACTGTCACGGGGCAAACCACTGCTATTAAATCTAGAACAATAGTATTACTTATTTTAGATAATATTAGTGATTTGTGGATCAGTTGAAGATTAAGCACCCCAGATTATATCATCACCTGAAGATAAACCATCATAACACTAAACTGTCTCCGTGATATGTTGTGAAATGGTTATCAGGGGAGATAAAATGTGGAGTGAGATAAGGATCAGGTGAGATGGTTATCACTCACAAGCTGACGCCACTGGGCAAGGGTTACTTGAGGGGACTCAGCAACAGAGAGATATGAAGTGTTATAAGAAGAGACAAGTAGTTTGGGGGGCCCTTAGAGAGAGAGAGAGAGAGAGAGAGAGAGAGAGAGAGAGAGAGAGAGAGAGAGGACTATTAGGTGCTCGCTCGTCAACAATATGTAGTTCACTTCTCACCAGTCATATGATCACTGCCGGTACTTGATCTATCTATCTATCTATCTATCTATCTATCTATCTATCTTTTCATGATTATCACTAGTGTAGAGTGACCAGTGTAAGATAGATAGATATTTACTTATACATTAAAATCATCGTATAAGTTAACATTATGCTTAGGCAAGAATTGACCGAGCAGGAGTACTGACTCGCCTAGGTCATGAAGGGTAGTTACTAACTGACTACTTGGAGGGTATCTTTATATCTTGTTGGGGCAGAGGTAGAGGACTATTACATCAGCCGTCTGGTCTGGAGGGGGGCGGGGGGGGTAGAGGACTATTACATCAGCCGTCTGGTCTGGAGGGGGGCGGGGGTCCAATACCCGCCAGACCTTGAGGTTTGTTTTTATTAATCACTGAGGTTCTCTTTCTAATAGGTGATTGATCCTTAGTTGATTCCTACTTCACTTTATCCTCTTCGCCACTGATCGTTCCTAACTCTCTCGGGCTGTCGGTCACCTCTGTGCAAAGGCGGGTCGAGGAGGGGTGGTTCCTAAGGGGTCCGAACCGCCCTTTCCATCACAAAATTCCATTACTTTTCTTTAATGCAGTATTGTACAGGCATTATTGTTTAATAAAAAGTAATTACTATTGCCTTCAGAATATCTCTTAATATTAAGTACACATGGCCTTAAAAATTTCCTTAAAAATATCCATCATATTGATCAAATTTAAAAGAAAATATCTGGTGAGACTTACATTCCCCCCACCGACAACTTCTTGGACTGGACTCCCCCTCCCCCCTTTTTTTTTATTCCTTCATCCGCCACGTCTCTGTTACACACTGTTGGCAAGTACTGTCTCCTGAATGTATCTGTACCTGCGCTGGTGTTGGTCAGGAAATGGAGACTTTAGCAGTTATTTTGCTTTTAAATTTTTCGAATATGGTGAGTATTTTTCAAGATGGCGGCTATTATTTAAGATGGTGGCTATTATTCAAGATGGCGGCTATTATTTAAGATGGTGGCTATTACATAAGATGGTGGCTATTATATAAGATGGTGGATATTTTTCAAGATGGTGGCTATTATATAAGATGGCGGCTATTATATAAGATGGTGGATATTTTTCAAGATGGCGGCTATTATATAAGATGGTGGCTATTATATAAGATGGTGGCTATTATATAAGATGGTGGATATTTTTCAAGATGGCGGCTATTATATAAGATGGTGGCTATTATATAAGATGGTGGCTATTATATAAGATGGTGGATATTTTTCAAGATGGCGGCTATTATTTAAGATGGTGGCTATTATATAAGATGGTGGCTATTATATAAGATGGTGGATATTTTTCAAGATGGCGGCTATTATTTAAGATGGTGGCTATTATATAAGATGGTGGCTATTATATAAGATGGTGGATATTTTTCAAGATGGTGGCTATTATTTAAGATGGTGGCTATTATTTAAGATGGTGGCTATTATTTAAGATGGCGGCTATTATATAAGATGGTGGCTATTATTTAAGATGGCGGCTATTACATAAGATGGTGGATATTATTCAAGATGGTGGCTATTATTTAAGATGGTGGCTATTATTTAAGATGGTGGCTATTATTTAAGATGGCGGCTATTATTTAAGATGGTGTTATATAAGATGGTGGCTATTGTTGAATGGCGTAAATGATGGTGGATATTATTCAAGATGGTGGCTATTATAAAATGGCGGCTGTTGTTTTGAAGACTATATATGAAGGTATATTATTTGAAGGTATGATGGCGGCTATTACGTAAGATGGTATTACGTAGATGGTGTATATTATTCAAGATGGTGGCTATTACATAAAATGGCGGCTATTGTTTTTAAGATGGCGCTATTATTTAAGATGCGGCTATTACATAAGATGGTGGCTATTATTCAAGATGGTGGCTATTATATAAGATGGTGGCTATTATTCACGATGGTGGCTATTATATAAGATGGTGGCTATTACATAAGATGGTGGCTATTACATAAGATGGTGGATATTATTCAAGATGGTGGCTATTACATAAAATGGCGGCTATTGTTCAAGATGGCGGCTATTATTTAAGATGGCGGCTATTACATAAGATGGTGGCTATTATTCAAGATGGTGGCTATTATATAAGATGGTGGCTATTATTCACGATGGTGGCTATTATATAAGATGGTGGCTATTACATAAGATGGTGGCTATTACATAAGATGGTGGCTATTACATAAAATGGCGGCTATTGTTCAAGATGGCGGCTATTATTTAAGATGGCGGCTATTACATAAGATGGTGGCTATTATTCAAGATGGCGGCTATTATTCAAGATGGCGGCTAGTTTTCCAGTCGCCAACTTGAAAAATACTCACCATATTCGAAAAATTTAAAAGCAAAACATCTACTAAAGTATTAATTGTATCGAAAATAACATCCAGTCAAAGTTGTTCTAAATCATGTATAGTTCCTTATTAATACGATTTTGAATAATATTGGGCTCTGATATGATAAAGTTGGAAGTTATGATTGATATTAGATATAAATATAGACAATTGTATGACTGAAGAAGTAATGTATTAGTGTTAGTTGTCCACTTTAAATATCCCGGGAAATTTGCACTGCCATCTTTATTTTGCTTCTTGTCGTCAGTCTCCGTGTGGTAAATGTAACTCCAACTTCGACTTTAAGTTTTGTAAATTATTATGAATAAACTAAACCATCTTAACGTTTTATAATATAAATAATATTTATAAACTTAAATTTGTTTCTATGATAATTTTTTTTTTAAATTTACGATATATTATTACAATATATCAAGATATTCTGAAACTAGAAGTTGAGACAAGTCCAACATGGTCTGTGGCAAGGGTCGTCGAGGAATAACACTGAAGCACATTTTGACACTTCATTTACAACATGTCGCGGCATAGAGATGTTAGGAAATTAGATTATGACGAAGGTAAGTATAATTAAATACTTGCCTTGGTGTTCTCTCCAGGGCTTTTATATTAAACAGATGTAAAGGTTTGTTATGCCAGCTCTAGAGAGTTCTTAAATATGGGGTCACCCTCTATAGTATATATCAGGTAATAGACCCTAATATAGCCTTCAGAATTAATTAATATACATATAATACACGGACGCATTAAGTATAGTTATCTTGGAATATATGAGGAATACTCGTAGTTAATTTTAAAACCATTAGATTTATACATCTCTGATTTTCACAATATATTTTAATGTGGAGTTTTCTCAAAGAACCATCTAACACTAGGAATTTGTTAAGCTTGATTCTGGTGAAAATTATAGAATAAACACGTGATGAACCTGAATCAAACCTAACTTAACCTAATTTAACTATCATAGAATATATTTAAGTAATTTTTCTTTATCCACCCATCACTTATTTGTCACATGAAAAATATATAATTTTTTTTAGTTTTTTTGCTGTTGTAGATGATTGTGACATTTATAATCATCTAAAACGGCAAGAAAACCCAACCTAACCTAACTTAACCTGACTTAACCTAACTAAAGAGAAAAAAAATGATTTACCCCATACATAAATGTCAGAATCATCTAAAACAGCAAGAAAACTAAAAAAAATTATATATTTTTCATGTGACAAAAAAGTGATGGGTGGATAAAGAAAAATTACCAATATTTCAGTTATATTAGGTAAGGCTAGGTTTGATTGGGTTGTTTTGCCTATTTTGATAAATGACAATACGACAATTACCATGTTGAGTAGGGACCACATTTCTGTTATTTCAGACTACTGTTGTTCTGCACACACATTGTCCCAGTTTAAAATCACGGCATAAGTCCATTTTAGTTGTGTGTCTTAACGGTTATGTCTGAGAACAGCATTACCACCAGAAGGAGTTGTTCATTTTTTCCACAGATGTTCTTTGGATGATAGTAAGTAATAAAAATAATACGACAATGCACAGAACCTAATAAAACCTGACCTAACCAACCAAAGAAACCTACCTAATTTCCTAGCCACACACCCCTGCTAAATTAAACAGAAAGTACAATATTTATTTTGATATCTGGTAACAATGAAAGCAACTAGTGACATGATGTAATATGTATTTTGTGGACGTAAGTGAACGCTAGCACCGGGCGGGTCGGTGTAAACAAACAGACAACATGCGGTGACTCGGCAGGATTTTCAGAGGAGTAGTTACAGTAAAAAAGATACATAATTTTAGTGTCATATGATCGATTTTTTTACCGTGTTTTATCTTGCAATTTCCCTCATCCTTCATGCCCTGACCATTACAGGTAATTTATGATCGTAGATAGAGAAAAACTAAAAAAATAAATAAAAATACTTATAATTAAAATAAAAAGTTACTACCTCTTTTAAAATACTTACTACCTGTATAATGATAAGAACATCTGTGGAAAAAATTAACGAAATCTATCACTTTTGATGGCAGTGCTGTTCTCAGAATTGCCATTCTAGCTACCTACTGCAAGATATTTCACCAGGGTGAGACCTTCCCTGCTGTGTTCATATTAATACATGGAACACAAGTCTGGTGTTTGGGAAGGGAAGGTCATTTGTATTGAGTTTTGGTTCCATTTACTGTATCGTTAAAACTAGTGTTTTACGAGTTAGGTAATGTTAAAGGATCTTAATTACTGTACAGTATAGTGTGCTGTATCATACTTGACAGTTAATTTAATTTTAAACTTAGGTGTAGTTTGTCAAGACTCACTCATTTTTTTTTTTAATTACCTGAATGTTAAAAACTATTAATACAGTTAGCAGTAAAAGTGTAATTGTGAATGTAAAAGATTTAATATCTGGTTCATTTATGAAGATACTGTAATATATACACTCTGAAAAACTGTTCTCATGTAAGAATCTTATAAAATGGCATTTAGAAAGTGTTTTGAAGAGTATTTTGTAGTTTAAGTATTTCTAAAATCACAACTTAGTTTTTATTGACAGAATATAACCAAGCATATGACGAAGATGTTTACGGCCATTCAGTCGATGATGGTGACTATGGGGTGTCTCCAGGAATGGGTGAGGATAATTTGTTTTGTCTACTGTACAGTGTGTGTGTGTGTGTCTGTCATGGGAGGTGAGGAGTGGAGTCAATTCTATCAAATTTTCAATACATTCAAGACAGTAAAGACTTAAAATGATCATATAGTGATCCAAATGATTCAGTCTATGCTAATGTAACATGTGAATCACCATAATAATCTACTTACACTTGGTTAATCATCTATAAAATATATTTAAACTGCAGATTTTGCCTCGTGTCTTTTGGGGGAAATGTACCGGTAAGCCAGGTTGTTTTATGGGTACGTACCTGTCAAGTGGGCAGGTTTCAGCCTCTAACACTATCGGGTGTCATAGGTTTCCAGTTCATAGACTTGTTGGATATGTCGCAAGAGTCAGTTTGTTTCGGCCATAAAGTGGGACTACGGTGCCAGTCGTCTGTGTTTCAACTCTTTTTATACTGTACATTAAAACTTGTCATCAGGATATCTTAGTTACTATGTTATGTAATCAAAATAATAGTGTATTATAGTTTTTTCTTAAGTTTTTGAAGTATGATAATAACTAGATGTAATATTTCAGAGGAATATATATATAACAGAAGCCGAGACAATACACAAGGTTTTGGCTTATATTTCCCAACGGGAGAAGACATAAAGGAGGAAGAGGAGGCTGTCAATGGCACCGCTCGCAAGGTTAGTGTAGCTTTGGAAAGTAACTTTTTTTTTTTTTTTTTGTCTCGTATTCGTATTTAATTCTTCTCTCAATAGTACATAGAATAACTTAGCAAATGGAACATACCGGTAGTTAAGTTTTGTATCAATATTAAATTTCATGTCATTATCTTTATGAATCTGTTATTGATTAAAGTGTATTCTGCTTTTTCAGTCAGAATCTCTACAAAGAAGTCGCCATGATTCTTCAAGTTATGTCAAGCCACTTCTGTCACCTGAAGATGAGGTAATACTGTAAATCTGTGTATTGTAGAGCCTCTGCTGCAGTGATCCAAATTCACTTCATTAGAAATACAGTACAGGTTGAAGCTCAATTTAACGGCATTGAAGGGACCTGGACCACGCCAGTAAGTCAAAGTGGGATGGGGGCAAAATTTAAACACTCCATGGTCTAGTTTATATAATATTTCAACCTTCTGCACAATATTCAGGGAAACTTTTTTCTTCTTTGGGTCACGAGCAACTCTGGCAGGATTTTCAGGTTGCTTAGAGGCCACGATGCAAAGAAAGTAGAAATTTAAGGCAATCACACGAGCACAGCGCTGCAGGAGGAAGGGGTACTAGTAGAAATGATGGACGGGCCTTTCAAATTCACGATCTGTAAATTTTGCTGTTAAATGTGAGTTGCCGGTAAATCCAAATCCAAAGAGCGAAAATGACCACAACGCGTTGTGGATGTTTTAAAAAAAAACAGAAATTGGGAAGATCAAGGAGGAGATGGAAGGGAGAGGTGAAGGATGCAAGCAATGTATTAGGAATAAACATTCAGGAAACAGCAGTGTGGAAAAATAAGTGGGGAGCCAAATATCCAGGTTTTTTTTTTTTTTTTTTTTCTATAGGGAAGGTCATGTTGCTTATGATTGATGCTAGAGTGCATAAACCAAGAGGTAAACCATATTATTATTTGGAGTTGTGTTGTAGAAGGGGACATCTATACCAGAACACATGTATTACAACAGTAAGAATCAATGCTTGACTAATGAAGAGGGAATATTTGTGTATATTTTCCCGATTCTGGCCGCCTTGATACAATAAAGGCTTAAATCAAGAAAATACAAAACAAATAAATATTACTGATATAGACAGCAAAACTGTGTACACTGGCAAATCCACTTTATTTATGCCTAACTGCTTACAGGTTCGCTTAGCATCCATTCTGGATGAATTGAGGAATATCCTGGGTGACAAATACAGTGAAGGAGAACTGACAGAAACAGTCTTAACACATAAGTTTGAGCTGGATGCTTCCCTCAATGCTCTCCTCAACAAGACATCATCACCAGCCACAGCACAGTCACTCCCACAGAGAGAAAAGCGTGTTAGAAGCAGAGGTGAGTAAATGATCATCTTGTTGTATGGTTGATATTGTACCTCCTATTGAAGGATGACTATTTTGATTATATTATATTTAAAATATTATTGAAACATTAATGTTCAGAATTAGTTCATCTTAGATGAAGCCACAGGTTTTATCTCAAACAATTATTTACTGAATGTGTCACTTTTAACTTCAGTGTTCTGAACTTACCCAAAGTAGTGAATTATGGGAGTTTAATAATGTCACTAATTCTTGTTGTGAGTTAAATCACATTTGGGTATATTGCTGCCATGTTTTGAAAACTACATGAGTTATTGGTTTCTTTCAGATAAACCTTTCACAGCCTCAGATGGTGTGAAGCAGCTCACACTGTCTCATAACCATCATCGAGATTATAAAGGTGAATCAGCACAAAGCTGTAAGGCCCCATCATCTGAAGCATCTAAACTTCCCAGACAACCTGCAGCCCCTATAGTTGTGACCACACCAGCAAAAGGTGGCAGTACTCCTCGGGTGGTGCGTGGCTTCAACGTTCACGATGCTGAGGGTTAGTGTAGTCAGGGTTGTTGTACTGTTTTAATTACTGATACAGGAGACCGTACAATTAGTGGTTGAATATGTACCAAATTCAGTTGAGTTGTTCAAGCTTTATAATGAAAACTTTTTTCATTATTTATTATAGCATAAATAAGTTGATTTAACCTACAGTCTTTTTGTATCTTAATTTACCAACACATCCCAAATACAGTATTTACATCCTTGTAAACTATGTCCGGCAGTCCTCCAAATTAGTAACACTGCCATAATTCTTCAGAAGTTCTTTAACACTTTTCTCATATATCAATATGATTTGTATAGTTCACTTTCCTTTATATGAGGTGGTGGTATAGTCCCTGTAGGAAAATCTTTATGTTGTCAGCACTACAGGTAAAATAACCCACCTGTGGTCATAAATTGCACCGGGAATATTGCTGGCTCTTTGAGGATGAATCGTGTGTTGTGTTCCAAATCTGTCTTGTCGTGTATGGTAGTCAGAGATGATCAGTGGTTTAAAAGTGAAATATCTTCCTCATCAGAGAGTGGAGCAGCAGAGAACAACCTTGGCAGCCAGGAGCGGGAGTCCAAACGGTCTCGGTCGAATACTCCCGTACGTGGGTGGAAGGACAAAGACAAAGAGAGAGATAAAGATACACCAACAGTGACCAAGACTCCTGCTAAGTATGAACTAGATTATTAATTCTTGTTTTGTGGATTTTGTTTTTCTAGGTGAACTTAAATGGACCAGTAGACAACCATTTATTAAGAAGTTATTAAATCACAATAACCTCACTTGATATTCTATAATTTTAGTTGGTAAAGTATACTTATAATTTACTGTAGTATCATTTGAATATTAGCATTATTAATCATCAATCCCCCCAGGATTAGAGATAAGGCAGTGGATGTTTTGACGGAGTATAAGGAGCAGCGAGGGAGTGGGAAAGACCTTCTTAACCTTGTGGTTGTTGGTCATGTTGATGCTGGCAAATCTACGCTCATGGGTCATCTCTTGTACCTGCAGGTAAATCTCTCTTTCATTAAGTACTGCACACATACACTAATCTCTTTTAGGGTCTTTCCTTTTTCAGCAGTGAGTGGCTGCAGTTTATAAGCAGTGTAGATTTTCTCTCTTTTTTTTTTATACTGTAATAGATACCGTATATACTCGTGTATAGTTCGAGTTTTTAAGACCAAATTTTTAGGCAAAAAATTGGGGGTCGTCCTATACAAGCGTAATAGTTTTGTTAGGTTGAACCCGTGCATGATGGGAAGGGCGAGGAGCAACTTTTAGCTTCAGACATGAAAAATATTTACCATTTACTGCCAGTAAACAATGGAAATGTAAAATATGTACCAATTAGTAATGAAATGTTGTGCAGTTCCTTCAGTAAATGAAGCTCACCAACTTACAATAGGCTAAATTACCTTACAACGTGCTTTCAGTAGTCTATGTTGAAGTTCTTAGCACAGGCTAACTTATCATGTCATATATGGTATCACAGTTCTCATTGATCTACAAAAAATACCGGTATTAAAAACCTTTTCGATATTTCACACTTACTATAATACCCGGTAATCTACTTCAACCTCCTATTGTTTACAACGACGCATGACGCACAACCAGCTGTATCAGCTAGACGGTACACGTGTTTTTCGAATCGTTTTCTGTTAAAAAACTGTTACATCACACGTATATTTTACCTAAACTGCGCCTGAATGAATATATTCTCGGAAATAAATAGTAGTTTTGCTGAAACGTGATGTATTTTAATGTAAAATAGGATAAAATACATGATGAAAACAAAAGATTTTACCTAACCTTCCGATGTTCAAGAGAAGTTACTCGTTTTTTTAATAGCTTTTGGTTAAAATATTGTTATATTACAATGGTATTCTATTCATACTGTGCTTGATATAATACATTCACGGAAATGTAATATTTTTGCTGAAATTACGTGCGTATTACAATGGAAAGTGGGATAAAATCGTGACGAAAGCAATGACTTTCGCTTTCTTTCGTTCAAAAGATGTTACCGTAATCGCTTTTCGAATGGTTTAGTTAAAAAACTGTTGTATTACAATAATATTTCCTCCTAATTGACTTGAATAAATACTTGAATGGAAATATACAATATTTTTGTTGAAAGTACCCGCGTTTCAGTGAAAAGTGTCGTAATAAGAAATGGTAAACAATTTGCTTTCGGCACTCGTGTTTCATGCACGGCGAGCCTCAGTTTGTAGGACGTAGAGCGTTTTTAGTGAAGGTTTTGTTGTTCCATTACCCTCAAAAACGTGGGTCGAACTATAAACGAGGAATATTGGAAATTAACGATTTCTTGGTCAAAAAATCAGGGTCGACCTATAAACGAGGGGGGGTTATAGACGAGAATATACGGTACTTTTATCTATATGGAGCAAGCATGTTCATATGAGGTGCAGCAAAGCAACTTGAGGCGTGTTTATTATATAGTTGTACTTTCTTTACAATTGCTAAGCTTTAACTGCATCTTCTTTTATTATTATTACTACTACTACAGAGCACCTCATATAATAAGTACAAATTGCAGAGTTTCCACATGTTCAGATGTTTTAATCCTGGGATTTCTTGTCTCATTTTTATTTCCTCTTTTAGGGCAATGTTGGGCAGAGAACTATGCACAAGTACGAACAGGAGAGCAAGAAAGTTGGTAAACAGTCATTCATGTATGCCTGGGTGCTGGATGACACTGATGAGGAGAGGTAATGTTTGTTCCTGGAATTATTGTTCTTATGTTTGAACCCTTTGAGTATGGTCCCCCACTCCTTGGTTAAGATATGTTAACCCCTTGACTGTCCTCTTATTTAATTTAACTTCTTATTAATTAGTATATTTTGGTGTTGCAGATCTCGAGGAATAACGGTGGATATTGCTCAAAGAATGTTCGAGTCCGAATCCAAAATAATAACACTTCTAGATGCTCCAGGACACAGAGACTTCATCCCTAACATGATAACGGGAGCAGCTAGAGCCGATGTTGCCGTTCTAGTCGTTGATGCGTCCAAAGGGGGATTTGAAGCAGGGTTTGAGAGTGGTGGGCAGACAAGGGAACACGCAATTCTTATACGCTCTCTAGGTGAGTGCTGCCACTTTGATTTTCTGAACTTTCTTCATACTGTATTTTCATGACTCAAAGTAATATGTTCCCATTGTATCTTAGTCAGTAGTGACATTTATTATAATTCCTGGAGTAATATACAATAGACAAGCTTGTTGAAACTTGGTAAATTGAAAAGCCATAAAATATATATTTTAAATATAGGTACACCTCTCCATAACAATGAAGGTGTCTCCCTTCCCCGCCCCCCACGCACACAGCATACATAAATTTTGCTTGCTTGAAATATACAATACAGGGGTATCTTAATGTCTCCATTAGCCAAAACAATTGGTACAGAGCACTTCTGGGAATGAGAGATTTTCCGGGTAACAAGACGACTCTCAAACTTGGAAAAAATTCCCCATCCCGTAATTTTTCAGGGTAGCAGAATTTTCTCATATTTTTCCAGAAAATGCGCTCTGCAAAATCGTTCCCAAACTCAGAATTTTCCAAAAAAATTCTGAGCAAATTTCAACTCCAGCTATCAGAGAGTTCTGGTTAACGGAGATATTGCTGTTGTACTGCAATCAATGGTTTCATTTGATCAGTCCATAGAACTAAAAAGTGGGATTGGCAAAGATTTCATTGTCCAAACTTAATTTTTTTTTTAAAGCTGACTCCTTTACCATTACAGGTTTTAAGTGTATTGTGAAGTTTTAAGTGACTTTAATACATTTTTTTAAGAACTACTGTACTGTACTTGTTATTTCTAAGTAAGCCAGTTATTCCAAGCACTGAATATACAGTACTGTATGTATATTTTACCATGTTCATTATAGAAACTGGAAGTTTACTATGCAGCATGTTAAGTACTGATTTTGTGAAACAATGACCAGTAAGATAACATCCCCTCCCCCCAGGTGTTTCTCAGCTGGCCGTCTCTATAAACAAATTAGACTCCGTTGAATGGAGTGAAGAACGGTTCAAGAATATAAAACATAATCTACGGCAATTTCTCAAGACCGTTGGCTTTAAGGACGCGGACGTAGTGTACATTCCGTGTTCAGGTTTGACCGGAGAAAACCTTGTGAAGCCCAGCACAGAGGAGAGGTTATGTTCCTGGTATAAAGGCCCAACTCTTCTGCAGGCAATTGGTAAGTTGATGTCTTCATTTTGCCTTCAGGTATTTATTAGATGCCCTCCATTCTCCTCACTTCAGTCTCATCTGCATGTGGTCAAAGAGGTATAAGAAACCTTGGTATTATATTAGTTGGTAGGTCCTTTACTGCTTCCATGTGAATCTCTTCGAACCGTAAGTAGAAATTATACCTGTACTTACCTGGCAGTATTGAGTTTGTGGCTTCTCTCACCATTTGTGTTAACAGTTTGTAGCCATTATACAGCTCAATTTATAAGCTGTGGATGGATGCCATTTTGTTTTATTCATCCACTCATATGATTCACTATTTTTTAGATAACTTTCCTCAACTCCATAATGTGTTCTTTTCCTTGCTTTATGAGGAAGGCAAGTGCAGAAGTTTTCAGGTCTCTCCGAATGCTTTTTACCTGCTCGTTAAGATGGTCAGGTTGTCAGGGTGGATGTCAGTGAACTTTTCCTTGTCCAGCACAGAATTCTTGTATCAGCACATCTTTTGTTGATTCTTCGTGTGAGGTACTGAAGACTGTATTTAAGTGTGTTGAAGGTCAAAGGTCATACATGGCAATAGACTTATTATATACTCTACTTGATATGATGGACAGAGCTTACAAAATCTTAAGAAGGACTCATCCAGAATAGGTATTAAGGATTATATAATGAGCATTTATACCAGTAGCCACAACACCACAAGTGGTATTCCTGTGTACAAGTCTGAACTACAGCCTCTGATGTCTTAAGCACAGTGAATTAAATTGTATGTGGTTTTGATTATTTTTATCCAACTTGCACTCTTGTGTATAAGAGACACTAAGGCAGTCATGATTTAATTTTTCCTTGACACATGTTGTCTTTGTGAATTCTTATTTTGCTTATTGCTGTTCTGAAATATTTCTTATAATTTTCAAGTCAAGAAGTTAGAAATGATACTAAGTAATTTTGTACAGACTAAAGTAAAAGGAGCAGCCATAGCTGTCTCTTGGGCAGGTTAAATGCTGCTGGTGAAAAGAATATTTATTACCAGTATGTTTGTTGAGGTCATTTGTTACCCAATAGTTCTAACATTTATTTTTACTACTATTTTTGCATTAATTTCCAGATCAGCTAAAATTACCAGAGCGTGGCATTTCCCGCCCAGTGAGAATGTGTGTGAATGACGTTTATAAAGGCCAGGGGTCGAACATGTGTGTAAGTGGACGACTTGATACTGGCTACGTTCAGAATAGTGACCGACTGCTTCTGCTTCCTCAAGGAGATGTAATTACCGTCAAAAGTGAGTATTACATTGATTTATTTACTTATCATAAAAATATTTCTAAACTGAAGGGATTAGCCAAACAAAATTTATTACAGGTCTTTGTTGAGCTGTCGATCTTCATGTCTTGAGTAATTTATTTATAATGAATTATATTAGCCACCAGGATTATGCAGAGTAGGAATGTCTGTGAAAATGAAATTGAAACAACAGAAGAAAATTTTCTCAAAAACTACTACTGTATACTTTTAAATGTAATTTTTGAGCTTGTTGCATTTGACATATGGGGCCTCTCAAGTGGTCTACTAGAAGCAAACCACTGTTGGACACTCCTGGCCAAAGCCTGTCATTACTTGTATACATGTAAACTTCACTGACAGGGTAAGCTGGTTCATCAAATGCATGATCATTATACTGTATGTCTTGAGAATCTATAAGGAAACCAGCTCATGGAGTTATTTGACCTCGTGTTCACTCCCTATGAAAACCCAAACCACCTAAATGGGATATTAATTTCACTACTGTACTGTACTCAGTTCTCCCTCACTACCCAGACACTGAAGACTTTTATTACCAGTACTTGACCACTAAAAAGCTTGAAGGATAAGTGTTGTTTTTGCACATCACACACTCTGGGTTGTTTGTTGTTACTCGAGGTGTTCCCAGACCACCCAACTGTGAATGGGTGCTTAAATTTTAATTTTGGGAAATTTAGATGATGGTTACAGTGCCTCATTGTGTTCCTCAAGTCATAGTATTCAGTATATTGTACCTGCATCTTCTTAATGGACTATCCAGCCTATGAAACCCATTTTAAAGAACCTTCAGGAAAGCCTCGAGTTGCGACGGACACGTGTCTGCCAATATTGTGGTATGAGGGGAATCATCGCCTCGTGGGTCAATAATACTATTGCAACAATACAAAAATAATGAGATGCATTTCCTAGCATGTCTAATTTACCTCTTCGTTCCTTCAAAAGTGTAAAATTAATGGAATTTAAAAACTGTATTAATTGCATATTTTTGCATTGCTGGTGGCATGTTGCCAAGTTAGACTTGTCACTAGCCACATGATCCTAGCACTCTCCCTACCAGACTGAGCTGTGATCTGTTATGGTTATTTTCCAACTCCTAATTTTGGGTAGATATACAGTACATAATTTTCTTCAATTTTGTTTACTGTTACAGCCACACAATCTTTCATATGCCTTATAGTATGAGGGGTTAAGCTTACCATTTTGGAAATAATCTTATCCCACCGATTTTGTTAAAAATCTCAATATATGTACTTCTGAACAAGCTGATTAAGGATTTGTTGTCTGCAAGTTGATATCTATATAATTACTTTACCAAATGACATCTCCAAAAATTTAATTCCTTTTCTAATGGTAATTACTTGCCACCTATGGTTTTTCTAATGAATTGTTTCTTGTAATGTTGCAGGTGTGCTGGCAGACAATAGTGCATCTGCTACAGCTTTTGCTGGTGATCATGTGACACTAACAGTCAGTGGTGTTGATCCCAGTGTGCTCCACATTGGTGACTTTTTGTGCGATCCAACCCATCCCATTCCTCTTGTTACCCGAGTACAAGCTCGCATTGTTGTATTCAATATCACAGTACCTGTGATTAAAGGAGCACAGGTAGGTGGTAGAATTTACAGTTGTTGTTATTTTCAGCCATCTTTAATAAGAGATCTACATTAGACAGGTTATGCTTGTATGTAATCAATAAACTGAACCTAACCTGTGTGATAAGTTTTCTAGATACTATAATAATACTGCTGATGCTCATCTCATTATTATTTGTGTAGGTATTCCTTTGTAAGCCTCCCATCCATGAAATTGCCAGCTACACCCGATTTAACCTTATACTTCCTTCTTTATATTGTACTTTCTTTATAACTATCAGCTCAGATTATCTAACTCAGGAGTCTACATCAACCTCTTGCTTTTTCGGTGTTCCTTTCTGTCCGAGGGTCTCATGACAAACACACTACGCACCTGATAGATTTTTAGCTCACATAACCCACAGTGGATGATTTAAAAAACGGAAATATGAACGTTTTCACTTTGTTGTTGGTACGGTATTTAGGTTTGGTTGCCACCTCCCCCATTAGAATTGAAAGTACAGTCCAGAAGATGATCATTTTACCGCTGATCGTTTATCCGAGCCAGGGCTTTACCGTGCTTTATTAATTCAAACCGATACGACTATTTAACCACATCAAACTCTCCATAACCGCGTTTGGAAGATTATTTTTCAAATTTCCTGCCGCCGTAAGCATGGGAAATGGCAGGCAAGGGGTGAAAGCGATGGTAATGACCACACCCAGTGTCTCACTGTCCATTGTCTTACTTATTTTTATTCTCTTTGCCACTGATCGGCTCGTTAGCTGCTTGGGCGGTCGGTCACGTCTCTGTTACGCACTGTTGGCAAGTACTGGGCATGATCTCGGATACTCGCTTTCATCTGGTTGTGTACTATTGCTTACAGTAGGATCTTGAGGCTTCCCAGTAATTGGTATTGGTTTAGTGTAGCAAATTAATATTCAGCACTCCCTGGTGAAAGTTGATACCCACGGTACTGACCCAGTAACACCCAACAACCTCTCTCATTCATGTCAGGCAGACACTGTCCGCTCTGCTGCATGTAATACATATCTGAAATCACTTTTACGTCTTAACACTTGAGATGGAGGTGGGGTGGGGCATTAGTGGTCTCATATTACCGACCTTCTGATGCAGTGTCGGGTCACCCATTGTTAGGGTGGGGGATTAGTGGGTCTAATGACCTGAAGATTTCTTGAATAAAGACAGAAACTAATGCTCCAGTGTTTCCCACCTACTGAATGTACAGTCATGGACAAAGGTTCGCTCTCCATGGTGAAACTGAGTCACAGGAATGAGTCTCCGAACTGATTTACCCTGAATGTTGTATCTTGTTTGGGGTCGATGCTGTTTCATTTTGGGAGGGAACAAACTTTTGACCCTCACTGTACAGTACAGTATATGTAACAGTAATAATTTTTTTACATCTTAACACTTTATTCTTTGCTGATAGTGTTTGGGTACAGTAATGTACAGTACTGCACAACTCAAATTGTATACAAAAACAGCTAGCTAGGGATCAATCTTCTACAAAGGCAGCAGTTTGAGATAGTGGCAATGAAGTGGATATTTTCAAGAAATCCACTCCGTTGTCATAGGTAGATTTAACTATGAGTAAAAGGAAATAGGTTCCAATCCTTCATTTTTCTGTATTTTACATACTCCAAAGACGAACAAATATGGCTAAAATAAACAATGAAAAAAAATACATAGCACGTCATAAAATACAATACCTGTAACAAATAATTTATGTACAAAAAATAGCTCTTTCTGCCCTTGAACACTTCTGTGGGTGACGCCAAGAGTGGAGAGTTCAGCCAGTCAGTTGACTTGAGAGATGCGAGGTTGCTACACTGTGTATGCCGTGACGTCACATCGGGGAGAGCGTGACGCATCCATACATACATACATACATTCACCTCAAACACACACAAATGATTTCCCCACACTTTTACAGTAGGCATCTCAAGGCTACAACTGCCTGGCGAGTTGGCGACTTGTGTTATGTAGTGAAGATTATGTACTTGGTCTCACAATGTGTGTTATTTACGTGTTGTGAGAGAACAGTATTTCTATCACTTCATGCCTTCCTTTTATGTACTTAGGGTGGGAGGCTGTAACCAATGTTGGGGAGGTTAAACAAATTTTTCATTATTTTCAGGTTGATTTTCATTACCAAGCTGTGACTGAACCTGCAAAAATCCGGAAATTAGTCTCTCACCTCCACAAGACCACCGGACAAATTGTGAAAAATAAGCCACGAGCCCTCGTCAAGAACACCGCTGCTATAGTAGAGTTAGAGTTCACACGTCCTCTATGTCTGGAGCTTTTCCGAGACTTTAAGGAATTAGGACGTTTTATGCTGCGGACTGGAGGTTCTACTGTAGCTGCTGGACTCGTAACTCAGGTAAGTCTCAAGTGGATCCTGTATCATTCAGGGCTGTTAGTTTTGGTATGTATTCCTAGGTCATTATTAATACACCAGTGAACATGATATAACAGAGATATTTTAGTCTTAGGAGTTGTCGAGCCTGACCTTCTCTGGTGATATAGGGTCTGTGTCTGAAGGCCATTGGTATCTAGGGAAGGTTTGTGAAGGAAGTAATGGCCATCAAGCACTCTAGTTTTAGTATAGGTTCCAGCACTCCTAAGATTTTTTAGATTTTCTTATGCCTCATCATTTGACCTGAAATTTAGAATGGAAATCTTAGAACTGGGCTTTTTAGCATGGTAGATGATGTTGAGTACCGAATGATTTTTTTTTTTTTTTTTTTTTTTATTATTCTTTAAGCTAGAAACTCTGTACACCAGAATTTGCCTTTTTCTGACTCTGGGGTGTTCCAGACCACCCTCTATTCACTAAAAGTATTTTTAAAAAGTCCCGAAAATCCATCATCAGTTCAAACGGTTTGTGCGTTCATACGTGCTGTTAAACGTCTCTGCGTGGGTGTTACGTGTCATGGGCCGAGTCCTGCCTTCATACATATAATTGTCAGTGCACCACACCTCACTACCTATACTCATTTATGTGACTTTTTATGTAGATTATGTACAGTATTGTCTTAACGGGGATGCTTCGAGGGTTTAAAGAAATGGGTAAAATTATGTAGAATACATAATTAGTCAGGGAGAGTCTAAAATCCTGTGGGATTTTCGTGGTGAAAGCAAACCACTGCCCGAGGCGATCAAAGGGACCCCAATGAACAATAAAAACTTACTGGCAGTCAGGAAACTTGTTCAGATTTATTTAGGAAGCTATTGGAATACAACTGTTAAATCGACATTCTCACCGATTGTGTTTGACTGAGGAGATACCATACATTCTCAAAATCCTCTATAATTCAAACTCAAAATTGATAACATGCTGTTTTTCACCAATATAACACACAAGTAATTGCAAAGTTAAAATTATTCCCCCCCCCCCTCCCAAAGGGGTGGGTTGACTGTTGATAGTAGATAGAGGGTCTCTACTCATCATCACTGGTCACTCTCATCACTCACTGGAAACACTTGTCCAACTTTCTCTCATACATCATCACCCTCAGAACAAACATATATCCATGCAGTTGAGCCCTGTCTTTCTACAGGAACATTTAGCAGAATGGCATTGCAGTTTGCATGTGCACTTGACCAGATAGGCATCAGATGTTAGTGCCAACAACTGCTTAGCCATGAAGGGAGTCCACCCACCTCCACCTTATGGGAGGGCTGTCTGGGCTCACCACCACAAGGGGGTGGACTTAGTAGGGGCCTGACTCTACATCTCACCCTAAGATGGCCATGCCAGCTGACTTGAGGCACGCAATTTGAATTTTTGCCTGGACCCAAATTCGTTTAAGTGGGGGGAGCTTTCATTTCTGAAGAATGTGGTGTCAATTTATGAAATTGTTACAAGTGAATTTTCGTATCAAGAACGTTCGTATCACGGGGGATACCCATATCATTTATTCTCTTTCTTATTTTGTATAATATAATTTTAAATGGGAAATATCACTTGATGTCTCTTTATTTTCAGATTACAAATTTATCTTGGTGCACTTTAAGCCATTTCATAAGCTGTTGAGGATTTTTCAATTAATTCATATTTATTCTTTTTCAGATCCTGGAATAGATACAATCAAAGAACGTCAGAGTTTACAACAACAGGCATTAGTGATCTTAGATATAGGATGTTACTTGAGGATCTATTACTATAAAACATCAGTGAAGTCGAAATACTGTCCTGACTTGTAATTAGGAACACGTCCATAACTTTTCACAGCATATACTAAAACACAACTCCATACAACTGGAGTAATGTGTTGCATTCACTACACTAAAAAGATGTGTCCCACGATTTCATTGGACTTTCTATGTTTTGAGTTGGTCACGTTGAGGTGGACATGACAAAAAAGAAAATACAGTATGTTTTATCCATAAGACAGGTCTGGTTAGTAAATCAATGACGTTTGTTCAGAAAGAAAATTAAATTCAATAACATTACAGCAGTCTTGGCAGTTTTTACCAGTTGCATTTAGAATGTTTTAAATTAAATAAAGTTGTGGGGATATTTACAACTATAGAGACTGCAAAATACCTCGTAATTCAGGCCGATAGATTATTTTATTCAGCTTTCCTCTATTTATTATTGTTATATTACAGAGAATTATAAGTATTACCTAAAATATTTATTGTAGCTAACTAAACAACTCAAAAAGTCAGTTCATTGTAAACTTAGAAGCACTGTACTGTGCTACAGGAGTGACCTGAATGATATTAGTGACTGGCATTGGGAGCTATGTACTGTACTGTATAATAATAATGCAGAGGTTTTGTTAAGCAGGTGACGGACTATACCAACAACCAGCCTCGGTGTTGGTTTGCTTTGTGGGTACAACTGTTCTCTATCATTTAGTGTATTTGGCTGCCTTTTGAATATTTAATTACATCCAATATATTTAGACAGACAAGAAAACTAAATACGAGTATTTTGAAAGTTTATTTGTCATTACATTTGTCCATCTTTATTATAAAAGATGGTCTGAATATCTTTTATTTAACCCTTTGGACGTGCTGTTTCACTGCAATCTAATGAATCGGGAATACTAATACTGTATATACAGTGTTCGACTTTTCTCCGTGTCTTTCAACACTCCATCTTCCACCCGGCAGACAATGGACCCAGTAACTGTTGCTATACAGTGACGACCTACCCATAAACAATGCCACCACCCACACTGTGATGCATTTATCTCTCTCCTCAGATTTACATTGTTTTTAACATTACAGTATTTAGGTATATGTAATGGTTATAATGTCAAGATAAGCTTTGTTTGTGTGTGTTATTTAACATAATGCATAAACATGTACTGTATTATGATAATACTGTATTCTGCATTTCTGACTTTTCTTTACAAGTTGATAGTGTGTGGCTTCATCATCTACATATAAATCTGGACATCTAATTTTGTTCTCCTTAAATTACCACCAAATATTTTTCTTACATCTCAGTACAGTATAAATAATATTTGAGGAATTTTGCCGTTTTGTTTTTTCATGTGAAGTCAAAGGACGTGGCAAAATATATATATATATATATATATATATATATATATTCAGATGTACTGCACAGTAATGTAAAGAAAGTTGATAGATGTTATTTATAAGAAATATTAATGTGAGATATAGAAACTTTATGGTTTTGCCTCGACAAAAAAGTAGTAAAAAGGAACAGTTGGCATTTTCGTATTTTAATGGAAAATTTACCAATACAGCTTGGAAACAAAAGACTCGTCCAAAGGGTTAATATACCAGTTTGTTATTGTGTGATAACATAGTAACTCTATAATGTTGTTATTGCTCAACAACAAATTAATAAATTATGAGAGAGTGGTGCACATCTTTGTCTTTCCTTGGATCCTCTCGAGTCGTGCCGGCGGTATACGGGAGGCCAAGTCCGCCGAACAGTGCCCGTTAAAGTAGTACCTGTAAAAGAGAGAGAGTGAAACAACAATGTGGCGAAGAGAACGGGAAGAAAGATTATCAACTAAATGAGGAGGGTTAATAAGATTTTGATTCCACCCTATCTAACAGTTCGGTAGAAGAAGAGCCACCCCCAGATATGATGTACCAGAGATTACAGTGAACCCTCACTTTACGCGGTTAATTCAACCCACGGCGGCCCGCATAAAGTGAGAAACGCGTAAAGTGAACAACATAACATATGGGATTAATTGAAATAGAGACCGGGCCGACCCCCAAACTCCACTTTTTCAGACAATACCTACGTTGTAGTAAAAATAACTTCTTAATTTTATGATGGTATGCACACACAATTAATAATTAAGAGAAATATCAATAATATTAGGTTTTTTAACACTTACATTAGTAGAAAAGATGGCTGGACACACGGGGATGGGGGGTTGGTTCCGAGGCAGAGGGCAGTTTATTGGCCCTCACCTGTATCAATTGTATCACTATCCACCACAGAGGCTTGCAGGGCCTCTTTGTCAAAGTCCATATCCTCACTATCATTATCACTGACTTGGGCCGGCTGTGGTGGGTGGCAGGTGAAGAACTCGGTAATGTTTTGATGACTGGGCGACCTTGTGCGCACCCTGCTCGCGCCGCTTACACAACATGGCGGGAGGTTTGGATCCAAAAATGGCGCGGCTCGCCAGCCGCTCTCCGCGTAAAGGGGTACACGCACCGCGGAATGTGAGCGTAATGTGGGACCGCGTAAAGCGAGGGTTGACTGTAGTCTAGTCTAGTACAGTGTATATAATAATTTCATATTTTCTCTTTCTATTTTGTTCTATTACATATCTCATTTTCTCATGTGTTTCTATTTATATTTTCTGTTATTTCTGTCTGATATAACTTTCTTTATAATTTTCTTAGTTATACAGCATTATTTTCGTTTATATATTTTTCTGTTTCTTTATATTTTTCTAAGTCTTTATTTCAGTGTGCTTACTTATTTCATTTCTATATTTTACCTTTCTTACTAATCACTTTCCTTTCAGTGTCATTATTTATTTCTTATGCTTTCCTCTTACTGTACTTCTTTCTCTCAATTTCTTATCATGCTTAATTATATTCGAGTCATTGGATTAACCTGGGAAGACCGTGTCATTCTTACACACACCTATTAAAGTGATTATTATTCTTACACAGGTAGACTGCCACCACCACCCAGGCTTTTATTAGAATATAACACATTGTCAAACTGTTAGGTAGCGTGGTGGCCTCGAGCTTAGGCATGTGAGTACAATATTTTCTGAGAAGCAATAATTGGAAGGATATGAGCAGTGATACTTGAAGTTTACTAGATCAATATTTATTAACAGCGAGAGTGAATAAGATGTCAATTTAACACACTCGGGCAAGACTTGACCTCTACAGTAGGACTTACTTTGCAAGTAACAAAATAGATCTTCAATTATTTGTTACAACATTAAGCAACTGTTATATTATTTCTTTGACAAATAAGATGGATATTTTACACACTTGTCAACAACACACATTAATCCACCATCACTTATAACCTCATGTTATTTCGGAATGAACAACATGGAACATTTACTCTTATTATTTATGAGCACAATACTCAACTTGGGACAATTATATTTCTGCTAATTATCCCTAATCATGTACAACAATAATATTTTTGCCCTTATAACTGTGATTATTACACCAGGGTCAGTTAATGGTGTTTGCTTACACCCAAGCCGCTGAGGTTCGGTCGCTAGATGCTAGTAGTGCCGGATAGACTCGATGCCGTTGGCTAAAACGATGTTGGTGCGGTACTCGCCCAATTTAATCGCTGCCGAATTAAAGACAGCCAGCTGGTATGCCACTTCCGGTCCCCTAGTAGCTACTGGGTATTCAGCTAACACCCACGCTGTGGCTGGAGATACGATGAGGAAGCGTGACGAGAGAGTCGCGCTCCTCGTGCACTCATTTATATATGGGCTAGTTGGCCAGATATGACAATATGCATATTAACATAATTCCCATTGAAATCAATTGCTGTACATTTGGCTTTGAAACTCGGTGTCATGCACACACTGAATTTCTTGCATCTATTTATACAATATAATCAGAGGTTGAGCTTGCCAGTTAAAAGTGAAATGGACATTAAATACACAAGCTGACAACGCTGTTCCTCCCACATTAGCAGAATTTCAAATAAGGAACTCTATGGGAATACGCTGAGATCTTTGAGATAAGCAGACTGACAGATTCCTTCCAGGAGATTAATTGCTTTCTTAAATAGACAACTGACAATAATTAAACCACAAACATCAGATTCTCTGATGTTTGGGCATCACAAAGATTTAACTTCAGTAGCAATTGGAAACTCAGGCATCCCCCAAGGGCGATATTAGTACTTTGTCATTCTTACTGGCAGACTCAACATTCACTTATTTGACAAATTTTATTAACAATAAGTACAGTTGAAGCTTTCGACATCACTCACAAAGGATCTTTAATGTTTCATCAGTAATCAGATATATCTAATATACAGTGGTCCCTCGGTTAACGTACACACTCCGTTCCAGCAGGTTGCTCGTTAACCGAAACCATTGTTTCAATGGGTTTTTGGGTAATTGGTTCCAGCTCACCGAAAATTGCCTAAATTCAACAAAAAAGGTAGAAAAGTACACTTACTTTGAGGTGTGTATGTAGAAGGCTCCTGGATGATGATGATGGGAATTAGAATGGGGATGGAGGAGAAGGGAGAAGAGAAGGCATTGGGGTGGAAGAGAAGTCACCCCATGGAGCCATTTCACCCATAAAATTTTAGTTCTCTTGGTGTAATTCAAGATTATTTTCTTTAAGTCAACACTGCACTGCATTATATATTGTCAATATGTAAAATAAATTTCAAAATGACCAATAATTGGCTTGCAAACACAGAAAAAAAGCATTTAGTTGAAGAGAGTCTCAAGCAAGATGTTACCTCCACTGAAAAGACACAAAGACTGACGCCTGTATGGTGTGTTGAGAGGCTGGATGGCGCGCATAAAACTAGTTTCATTACCTTCAATTATGTTCAATAATTGTTAAAATGACTAAAAAATTTAATATTAAACTTTTAAAATTATTGAATAGTATAAACTTCTTGATATTTGCTAAAATGGTAAGGAATTTAAGCCCTAGAAACCGATTACTGTATTGGCGGACTAATACTACAGCTGGTGGACCGCCAAATGCAAGCGAAAACGTGTTCTGGTCGGCTCGTAAGAAACTCGTTAATCGAGGGATTGCTCGTTAACCGAAGTTAAGAATCTTATGGAAGGTAACTGGTTAACCGAGGGACCACTGTACTACAATATTACGGGGTTCTCTCAATTTTAAATCTCTGAACATGGTATGAGCTCTTAAGAAATAACAGTCTTGAAGATACATGAAATTGAGAGAAAACGGAGGGCTCAGGCGTACTGAAGCGATAAGAAAACGAGGGCTTCTGACGTTGGACTCAAACATGATGGCATAGCTACATGCTTAATGGTCTACTGAGCGTAAAATAAATCGTTTGATTTTACGTTAATTAACATGCATGACCGTGATCATTACAATGAGAACAGTACTCTAAGTTATGACGAATGAATGCCTTAAAAAATTGAAGCAACTGCTCTGGAGTGAAGTAGCTACGGCATCTGTACAAAGTGTACAACATTCCCAACTTTCAATGAGGCAGTTTGAGCAATGTTGAGGATGTGTGGCTTCCATAGCATATTAGATTAATCTACAGTTAAAAAACAGTATTTTTGCATTTACACATTCCTACCACTAATCTATTATCATATTCTAATAATATGTCTAATTATAGGATCATTTTCATTTATTACATTACCGTCGCAAATGTATAATAACAGAGATAGTGTGGGGTACGGGCTATTTGGTTCACACTCAGGATGGGATGGAGAAAGGAAACTCACAATGTGCTCTCTGTATACATATTGTATTGGATGTACAATGCAGCTTGGTGCTGGGAAGTGGCAGCGTGGTTACAAGCGTGATGTAGAGAGAGCTGGTTGGTGAGAATGCTCAGAGGAGGACCGGCTTGTGGGTCGCCATGCTCACCGGCGGGAGTGGAGGAGGTGGTGTTGCTTGCTGCGGCTGTAGCTAGAAGAAGACAGGTCACCACGAGGTCAGGTCTTATATAGTAGAGGTAGGCGTGGCTTAATAGTTGACCTCCGTGATGTATGGCGGCGCTGGTTGACCTAGACCACGAGGCATACACTGGGGAATTCGCGGGGTCGGCTACTCAGCGACAAGCGTTTGTCGGGGAGGAATCCACTACAATAGCATATCCAAAATTTTATCTATTTTCTTCCACTAATATTCCGCCATTATCGCCTACCTCGTCTTTCACACTGCGTGTCTCCTTCATAAATCATTACGCGTAGCCGACTCCGCGAATTCCCCAGTGTATGCCTCATGTTCTGGGTCAACCAGCGCCGCCATACATCACGGAGGTCAACTACTAACCCACGCCTACCCCTGCTATTTAAGACCTGACCTCGTGGTGATCTCTCTCTTTTCTACCTACACCAACCAGCCAGCAACACCTCCTCCTCCTCCGCATGCCTGGTGGTCCTCGCTCCCGCCGGTGAGCATGGCGACCCACAAGCTGTCCTCCTCTGAACACCGTCACCAACCAGCTCTCTCTACATCACGCTTGTAACCACGCTGCCACTTCCCAGCACCAAGCTGCATTGTACATCTAATACAACATGTATACAGAGAGCACATTGTGAGTTTCCTTTCTCCATCCCATCCTGAGTGTGAACCAAACAACCCGTACCCCACAAATGGTGACCCTGGAGTGACCACTCACACAGGATGGAGGAGAAACAAATGGTGACTCCCGGAGATTCGCACTCACACAGGATGGAGAAGAAACTGATCACTCTCCCAGTCTTCAAGCAACATGGAAGACTGGCTTACCCACGCAGAGGCAGCTCTCATCGGTTCTACAGCTACTGTCTCTAAACCGCAGGTTTGACACCCTAGAGCAGCACTACTTCTCTAAGCAGACACCAGCTCCTCTTCCTGCCCCAAGCACCATGCCCTACCGACCCCAACACACCCGTCCTGCCTCAGACGCCACCCCCGGCCCAGCAGTGCCCCCTGCCGCTTCTGCTGATGCAGCCCCTGCTCCCGACACGGCCAATGCGCCTGAGTGCGGACCCACACACCCCTCTTTTCTCCCTCAGGTACTCCCTGCCACTGTCCTGCACCCTGCTTCTGTCGTGGACCCAGCTGCTGTCACGAGCCCTCATCCGCTTCTGCTGACGCAGCTCCTGACCCAGGCCCACACACCCCAGCAGGTGCATCTGATGACTCTGTACCTGCCTTGAGGGAAGCACAACATTCATCGCCTCCACACACCCTCTTTCTCCCTCTCTTCTCCCACAGGTATTGTGTATCTAGACAGTTGTCTCTTCTAGCAGCCGGCTCATCCACGCCCTGCCGTTATGTCCCACATGAGGCATGCACCGCCCGTTCTGCCTCACATGTGCCATGCAACCCTGCAGACAACAAGTCTCCTACACCGCCTGGAGGGAAGGAGGGCCCCCAGGCAGCGGCGGAGGAGGTGGTGTTGCTTGCCGAGGCTGTAGCTAGAAGAAGAGAGTTGGTTGGTGAGGATGCTCAGAGGAGGACCAGCCTGTGGGTCGCCATGCTCGCTGGCGGGAGCGAGGATCGCCAGGCAGGCGGAGGAGGAGGTGTTGCTGGCTGGTTGGTGTAGGTAGAAAAGAGAGAGATCACGAGGTCAGGTCTTAAATAGCGGGAGTAGGCGTGGCTTAGTAGTTGACCTCCGTGATGTATGGCGGCGCTGGTTGACCCAGACCACGAGGCATACACTGGGGAATTCGCGGGGTCGGCTACTCAGCGACAAACAGCGTTTGTAGGGGAGAAATCCACTACAATGCGACCAATCAAAAGCGGTTTTTTTGCAACCAATTAAATTGATTTTGGGTTTAATTCGCGGTATTTTTGGCCCAATCAAATTCGATTTTTATTTTGGGTCTCTTATTTCGAAATTCAAATTCAGTTCGACCATGGCAGTCTGCGATGGTTGTCACTTGAATTACATGGAGCTGATTGCCAGTTCTGGAAAAAAAACGAAGAAACTATAGCGTTTTTTTGATTGCATGGTGCTCTTCCAACTTCAGTAAAGTGTCATAAGTGCAAGACTGAATGTAAATATCGCAAAGACCAACGTATGTGCTGTGGGGTAAGAGATTGTTTGGTTCACACTTAGGATGGGTTGGAGAAAGGAAACTCACAATGTGCTCTCTATATACATGTTGTATTGGATGTACAATGCAGCTTGGTGCTGGGAAGGCAGCATGGTTACAAGCGTGATGTAGAGAGAGCTGGTTGGTGAGGGTGCTCAGAGGAGGACAGCTTGTGGGTCGCCATGCTCGCCAGCGGGAGCGAGGGCCACCAGGCAGGCGGAGGAGGAGGTATTGCTGGCTGGTTGGTGTAGGTAGAAAGAGAGTGATCACCACGAGGTCAGGTCTTAAATAGCGGGGGGTAGGCGTGGCTTAGTAGTTGACCTCCGTGATGTATGGCGGCGCTGGTTGACCTAGACCACTAGGCATACACTGGGGAATTGGTGGGGTCGGCTACTCAGCGACAAACAGCGTTTGTAGGGGAGAAATCCACTACAGTGCCGTTGTATAAGAATCTTAGGTAAGAAATAGGTGATTTCATCATATGGCGAGAGTCAGTTAGGTTAGGTTTTGTTTTTGTTTTTCTAGTGTGTTTTGGTGTATTTTTTTTATTCGCTTATCCATTATTTTTTTCGAATAAGTTCCACGAAAAAACATCGAAAAAAAACCCGGCCAATTTCCGACGGAGATGAAGGTGGTCATATTCGGTGTAAACACACACTAATACACTAGAACAATATAATTTTTACTTTCTAACGGAGTGGGAGGAGGAAATTCAAATTTACCTAAAAAACTTCATTATCGTCAATAATCAGCTGAAAGTTATAACTTTTCTCGAGTAATGTGAGATAACTTGCCCTGAGGGAGGCCTTATATAAATTATTAAAGCTTTATTGACAAACAACACATAGTTACAAGATTTACACAATTTAAGACATTTAATAATATTATAGAGTAACTTTATCATTTTTATAGTTTAAAAATAAATATAAGGTAAAACAATTGCTGGTGTAAACAGCCGCTGGCCACAGGTGAGCAACAACGGCTGTGAGTTGAGGTAAATTGTTTTGTAATATTGTATTAATATGTGGGAGATGTGTGCAGGTATTATACAGAGAGCCTTATAGTTGTTGTGAGGAACAGTTTGGCCAAGGTAAAAGGAACAGTTTGGGCCAAGTAGTTTAGACCTGAGTAACAACACCTTGTTGTTATTTGCTAGTGACAGTGTTCTTTAGGGGGTAAGTGTTTATGTTTTTATAATTTAAGGTTAAATAAGGATATAACTAATTACTATAAACGAGTTGTGTAATAATACCTAAGATAATAATAATAGCAGCTGTCTGGGTCTAACCTAACCTAACCTCCCCAAGTTTTTTTATAGTAAATATAATATTTTGTTTGTTGCAGGAGATGTTTCAACAAAACTTGGGGAAATTGAACTGCTCCATAACAGATGAAAATAATAACTGGAGCATGGAACGAAAGCTGTTACCAGCACTACTAGCACCACCACTACCACCTATGGCAAGGTAAACTATAGGAACAGCTCTCATAGCATATACAGGAATTTGTTGTGCTCGTCAAACTCTTAAGACAAGTTGTTGTAACTGTGCTGCTGTTAGTCATTTGTCTGTCTTCCTTTTATATATCTTTCTGTTTAAGTCAGTGGTTCCCAGCCTGTTGACCATGAGGGTAATTTAAACCACGTCAGTTCATAATAAAACTGAACAAGGCTTGACCCTCCTAGCAGAGTGCCAGAGTTTAAACCAAGGGTCTGCAACGGGTCCGACTAATTACCCAAATGAACCCAAATGTACCCAAATGTAGCCGCAATGAAGTCAAATAATGGTCCTACATGAATAAATCGGACTGCCAATCACTTCTCGACTAGTATTTGGTGTCACAAAGTCACAAAAAATTGGAAAACATAATTTAATCTGAGTTAATAGAACGCCTGCATTTACCTAGCCTAACCTAACCTAACTCAGATTAAATTAAGTTTACCAATTACTTTATGACACAAATACTAATCGTTTACGCTTGTATGACCATCATTTGGCTTCATTGTGGCTACATTTGGGTTCATTTGGGTAATTAATGGGGCCGTCTGCAACCCTCATATTTGTGGCCGGCATTATAGCCTCCAAAATATGTGATGAGCGGCCGGCTAAGGTAACATAAGGGTATTGGAACACTTGATGCAGGAAACATCTGATCTGATACTCTTTGTTAAACTGGTAAATTATACCTGACAATGCCAGTACAGTACATGAAATACTTGGAACTATTACTGTTGAAAATCTGCTTCAAATCCTTTTGTGGACAGTCATTGTCAGCCATATATTGACGAGGTTAAAGATAATATTCAGACAAATTAACCAAGGACAGCTGACAAACAAAGCCATGGGATAATTATTTCCAGTAGAGTCTTTATGCCAGCAGCATGTGGTGATCATAGGGCCAGGCAGTCACCCATCTTAGTACTAACTTTGCTATACGGACAAGAATCGGTGTTTCCAACATAGTACTGTGCTGTTGGTGATGCACAGCTGCAAGGGCATATCCAGGGGAGTCGTGGGGGTCCAGACCCCCCATTTCACCAGAAAATTCCAATAATTTTTATTTAATGCAGTATTGTACTCAGGTATTTTTGTACAGTAAAAAATATTTACTATTGACTTCAAAATATCCCCTAATATCAAGAGCACATGGCTTAAAAATGTCCATGATATTGGTCAGATTGTAATGTTTTTGTTTGTTTGTTACAGATGAGTAATGACTAAACCCTTGAGAAATTAACAACTGGAACATGGAGAAACTGCTGTTACAGGTATGTCTTTATGTCTCTGTCTGTCTGTTTTTCTCTATGCTGTATCTTTCTAAATCTCAATTTTTCGAGGTTTGTCTAACTGTCTATCTTTATGTATCTGTATATCTTTCTATTACCGGTAGTCTTTCAATACCTGTATGTGGAAGGTGGGTACACAAGAGGTACAATGAGTGAGGAAGGTGGGTACACAAGAGGTGCAGTGGAGTGGATGGAGACTGCAGGTAATGGCTGGAGGAATATTAGGGAATTGTTGTCTTTATTGTCAGCAAGAGGACTTTCCCATCACATGAAAGGAAGACTGTATACAACTGGTGTGAGAAGTGTGGTGTTATATATCCGTAAAGCATGGGCAGTTGAAGAGGATGACATATGCATTATGCAGTCTTGAGTGAGCTGAAATGAGAATGGTGAGGTGGATGTGTACTGTGACACTGAAAGATAAGAATCCCCACTCATAGCTAAGAGGATGGCTGGGTATTGAGAGTATCGGCAAAGATTTACGTATAAGTAGACTGAGATCAGGCATGTGGGGAGAATGGATGAGACCAGCTGGGTTAGGTGGTGCATGAGACTAAATGTGGTGAGGAGGAGAGGCAAAAAATGGTGCAGCATGAAGAGTTACTGCAGCTAACCTACACAGTGTGAAAAATGGCTGTATGATTTTGATGTGGAAGATGATGAATTTGATCTATTTTCTGTCTAACTTTCAGTCTGTCTAACTTTCAGTCTATCTATCTATACCACTGTACTGTATTTCTCACCATATTAAAGGCAACTACTGATATAGCATGAAAGGTTCATAGTCCCAAGAAAGTTCACCTGAACCAAACTTGCATAAAAGGAACAAATATTTAAATGAGAAATATTGCAATGTTTTCCATAACCTGTACAGTACAGTTGACCCCTGTCAACCAAGGATTTCCATTCGCGGATTCTGGATGTTCTCGGTGTTTACACTGCAAACCATTTCACACAACCACGGTATTGAATTTCAAGAATCTGTGGATAAGTGTGGCGTCTCTATCCCTCTGCAGTCTAATGTATTCCTCCTTAAGTGTGAGGAATTAATAAAAATTATAATAATAAATAAAAGAAAAGAAAAAATACTGCATTGCCATTTGACAATTGTTTCACTAAAGATGCGGGACATGGGCGTGCTTCCCGCTCTCCCTCACACGATCGTGGGCTGACTCCTGCAGACATAATAAAAGTTTTTCTCTTTGTTTTTGACCTTTTGATCATCATTTCTTTTCTTTTATGTTTTATTTTTCTGCTAACTCAGTATGAATGATTGCATGTGCATGTATCGGCTAAAAAAGTGAATAAAACTACGTATATCTACCCAAAACTACGAGTTAAATAACAATAACGCAGCTCCCATCTTGGCCTGGTAGGGAGAGGCTGAAATCCCTGAAACCATCCCCAGTACTGTGCACTCTGTATGAATGACTGCAGGTGCATATAACAGTAAAAAATAAATGAATAAAAATACATATACTGTACTGTAGTAACTAACCAAAAATATAAGTTGAAAAATAACAATAACACAGCTTGGCCTGGTGTATATATATATAACTATGCAGTTAAATATGGTGTAAGGTGGAAACATATGTTTGGTTAAAAATATGTCTTATATGGTGGGAAATATGGTATATCTCTCAGTCTATCTCTTTACATCTTTCTGTCCATTTGTCTACAGTATATCTGTCTTATATGTACTGTACACAGAACTACTGTACTAACCATGATAGGCAGCACTGAGTTGACAATGTGTGTGATTAATACCTGGAATACAAATATTTCCAGGAAAATGTCCAATATATTCAGCAACTAGACCACTTTAGCAATATAGAAGAACTAAGAAAATATTGTTTACTGTTTTTATACCAAAACACTGGCGATTGTCTCTCATATATCAGTTGTATATCTTTAGTGGTGCATTACTGTTTCCTGGGTTCATTCCTCAGCCTGGGACAGATGTGAGAAGGGTGTGACCCTCACTACCAAACATGGCAGGTTTTCTCTTGGTACAATACAAAAGTTTTCTCCCATACTGTACAGTATTTACACTGGACAATGAAGGACACAATAAAGAACAGATCAACTGCCCAAACGGCTCATGACAATTTCACTACGTAAACTTATACAAAGGTGAATCATAATTTAATGTTGACTCAGCCATAGTGAGCTTCAACATTTATGCCAGTAATGTACTGATGAATGAATCTTGATCACACACAACTATAAGGCGGCCTTTTCTTGCCACTCCATCTTCCCTCTGTCAGATAACAAACAAAGTATTACTGTACATTCCTTGGCCTTTATTGTGGAAAAGCCAAGAATTATTATTGTGTGAGGATGTAGTGGATCTCTGAAGTAACAGTCATAACCAATGAAATATTTTTGTGTTAAGTCAGTGGTGTAAGTCTGGTAGTTTGTTGTATGCAGGTCTGACCCACCTGGATCATCCTGTTGCAAACTACTGCAGGGAGTGAAGACCTTCCTTAAAAGGTTTAACTTGGCAGTACTGTATTCAGAAGGTCACAGCTCTGTATCAGCTGTCAACATGGGCGTCCTCAACGGCACTTCACGGTTTATAACAAAGCCATTTTTTTATTACATGTACTTATTTTTGTCCTTGATGATGTGGTTCACCCATTGTCAGATGCAGGTCAGGAACACTAAGGACTGTTCCTCTATAATCCTCACTGAGTACATGAGGATGGATTACATTCTTAACTCTAAAATGGCAGCCATCACCTGCAGAAGTGAGCTGTAGGGATGGTAGCCATCACCTGCAGAAGTTAGCTGTAGGGATGGTAGCCATCACCTGCAGAAGTTAGCTGTAGGGATGGTAGCCATCACCTGCAGAAGTTAGCTGTAGGGATGGTAGCCATCACCTGCAGAAGTTAGCTGTTGGGATGGTAGCCATCACCTGCAGAAGTTAACTGTAAGGATGGTAGTCATCATCAGCGGAAGCTTCATGTTCCAATTTTACACAAACGGGTGAGGGATGATCCTTAACTAGTGACTAAGTGATAAAGAAGGTACCTGGATCTTCCTTATTTGCAACTTGTCCTGGCATCACATGACCCAACTGTACCCAGACTGTGGCCTCACACATGTGCTTTACTGTTTGTCTCTAAATCCAAGGTTATATACTGTATAGAAGCTAACCTGAGGTCTGGCACAAATTGTTCTGTTCTGTTTGTGAAGATTGATGTGTTGTTATATAATGCAGCATCACTTATTGTGGCCACATTGTTGTACTGTACATCACTTTTTGTATACCTGTACAGTATTGTCCATATACCTGTACCTCATTGTCTATATACAGAACATGGTGAACTTGACTGTATATTGTACCTCTTTGTCTATATACAGAACATGGTGAACTTGACTGTATATTGTACCTCTTTGTCTATATATGTGGTAAGTATTGCTTACACACACATAATTATTAATTAATTTGTTAAAGTAAAATGGAGGCTTATCTCCTTCTCGACCTATCCCACAATTCACTTTTCTCCTAACAGTACTTGGCCTATTGGCTCCAGTTCTTGGCTTTGAGCCTAATTTCCATAAATCAATCAATCAAATAATCCTAACACTACATGTACTCTGATATACTGTACTCAGCTTATTGTAGGAAGGATTTATGAGTAATGAAGTTCTATGAAGACTTCAACCAGCTGTTCCTGAGGTACTGTACTATACTATACGGTATGTAATGTATACTGTAATATACTGTACTGTACTGTACTGTACTGTACTGTACTGGACTGTACTGTACTGTACAGTACTGTACAGTACTGTACTATACAGTACTATACTGTACTGTACTATACTGTACTGTACTATACTATACTGTACTATACATTACTGTATTATACTGTACTGTACTATATTGTACTGTTGATGGAACATATAAGTAAAAACACAATATCTTGAACCTTGTCAGAAGTGTTCGTCCTCTGGGTGCGTTAACAGCTCTGGCTGTGTTCCACGCCACTGGTCTACATCTCAACACCAGGAACCAATCCTGTATGCCATGACTAACTTATTAGTTTAAGGTATATACTGTACTGTACTGTACTGTATAACTCAGTGTTACTTCTTTAATGTTAAAATACAATGGTAATCAATTACTAGTTTATTTAAATAAACTAATTAACCAGATTTATAATAAATGCTGAGAATATTCAACCATCTGATGGCCTCTTACGTTCATCAGACTACAGTAATTTATAATAAACCATGACCACTCTTTATATTTGTATACATGTGAATCATTGATTATACAAATTAGTGTAAGAAAACCAAGATACCCCTGACAAGAAGCCAATTTCACGTTAAATTTGCACAAAACCACGACCCAAATATCCATAGGTGCTTCATGGGTCCACCGGGCAAGTTGCTGCCAGGTTTTATTTACAATTTGTTATTATTACATGGAATTATACAATTTTCACAATATACACTGAACTGTATACCTGTATTGTCTATATGCTGAACTGTATACCTGCATTGGCTATATGCAAGTTGAACCAATTGTAAACTTAAATGATAAGTTTACTGAATAAATATATATCTTTCTATCTAAAGTGGTCTAGTGTATGGAAATATTTTGAGCTTTTTCCTGATAATTTTGTTTCATCACAGGTGTTACTCTGTTGCAGTGTGAGCCAGTGTGAGGTGGAGGCAAATATTGAATGAACTTGTAAACTGAGGTGTTTAGCTGTAGCTCTGGAAGATTGACAATTTGTCTTCTTTTAATTATTATAAACCAGAAACCTTATTTCTCACTTTTTATCCATGTATAATTTGGCTAAATTTATTTTTTTAATTTACCTGGACTTAGAATACCATCACAATATGATTTGAAATTAAAGAAAAGAAAATTATGTTCAGTTTCCTTTTGTGTTTTCAAGGACTTTAGAATTAATATGATTTAGTGAGGCTGTTGAACTTTTCCGGTACTTTAGATAACTTTCCCATTTATGTTAAACTAAACCGTAAATACATATTATTGTTCTTTGAGGAATTAAATTTCATCAGTTTGGTGTCATTTAATGTTGCTCTAAAGTCTGTTGATTGACTTATGCAGCAATTATTGTCATAGTCATGCCAGTTAATGTTGTTTTTGGACATACAGTTTATAATGTAGTGATCTACATTAAAGCAAACCATTTTTATTTTCCAAATTTGTCATGCTGGTGAACACACAGTGGGTTATGAAGGCGTGCATGGTAGGAAAGGCTTTGGAATAAGGAATACTGAAGGTGAAAGAATACTTGAGTTTGGGGTTGATATGCAACATGTGTTTAAGAAGAGAGCATGTAGGCCTAAGTCAGGTGGCACATAAACCCAGATTGGCGATTGGCTACATTTTTGTCAGGAAATTAGAGCAAAGATATTCCGCTGAGTGTGATTGATAAGATTTGTGGCGGGAATCATGAAGTGGACAGATAGATAAAAAGAGAAAAGAAGATTGTGTGAGACGTGGAAGATGGGTGGCAACAGAGAGAAGTACAGTACCTGGAGGCTAATCTGAGATGGTTCAGGCTTGTGAGGAGAAAGGAGGAAACTAACTGGGTCAAGAGATTCATGAATGAATGTGGAGGGGATAGGAGTCAGAGGAAGGCAAAGAATGGCATGAGGAGAGGTTGTAAAGAAATGTTAGTGCTACTATAGTAACTGAGTATGTTTGTTGCTTGGAATGATGAGGAACAATCTGGACAAACTGAACAGACAAAAATGAACAATTTAACACAAATTTAGAAATTGTTGAATAATGTCAAAATATTCAGAACTCAGTTAATTTGTATTTTCAGTAATTCGAGTGACCCAGAGTCTCTTTTTGTCGAATCAATGAGGGTATAGCGCAGTTTGTGGTCCACCGAATTACTGAAAATACAAATTAACCGAGTTCCGAATATTTTGACATTACTGTATTAAAAAATTTCCAATTTTTTTATTAAATTGTTCATTTGTTTTCTGTTCAGTCTGTTCAGATTGTTCCTCATTATTCCAACCAATAAACATACTCAGTTATCATGCCTTGATTACCACAGGAAATGCTCTATTTATAATTACTGTGCAAACAAATATTTTTTAAGTGTACAAACAGTAATAATAAAGTAAATATTACAGTAATAAATAAATGTAAGACTTACTGTACATTGCGAGGTGAGGTGATAATATGTAAATTATATTCAGAAAGCATAATACTGTAGTATTCAGGATCAGGTCTGGGGTCCACTGCTGTCTTCAAGAAGATTAATTCCTAATCCCCACCTTACCTAACTCAAGAGACTGATTCCTTTGTTCTATGTGTTTCTCCCTTGATTTGTTGTTAGTTGGCAGAAGAGGGACCGATAGTGCATTTTTTCCCGGCTGAGAAGAGATGTGTAATATTTCAATGTGATTCTGTTCTTTTAAAATGTTAGTTTTTGCATGATGTAGTATTACTGATAAGTAATGTGTCTTAGCAAAAATAAGTATGCGTCCTCCGAAAGTGTCAATTTGCTACCAGAATTTAACAGTTAATTCATGTATAAGATTTCTGATAAACTTCCTACGTACTCATGTTTGGAATAAGGAATGTATGTATCTTTATATAATTTAGCTAAATATCTTTCTCGTTAGAAACGGTCATCCTAATGATTATGAATTAACTCATTTAGAAATACTTCATTACTTCAGGACAAAATCGGACAGATTTGCAACAGCCAATCAGCTGTAACTCTTGAGGAGGGGGCTGGGCATATCTTCTCAGCTGGGAAGAAATGCAATACAGTACAGTCAAACCAGCTCCAAAATTTTGAATTTTATTTCTCCAATGAGGGTTTTTACAATGTCGAATCACATTATTTATTTATTTTATTTTATGTACATTTTAAAAATATTTATACATTATTTGCACAATAATTATAAATAGAATATTGTATGTGGTAGCCAAGGCGACTTTTCGAACCACTTGGTTATTTCAGATTCATTCCAAATTAAAATCGTTTAATTAATTTTTTGAGAAACATGCGAATTAAACCGAAGTATGAATTACAGCGATCCTATTTAACGAGGGTACAGTGTAAATACCCCAGTAGATTGCATATTATAGTAGCAATGAAATGTCAGAATTATTTTTATGTATTAAATCTGATTATGCCAAATATTTTTGTATTTATCTATTGAGGTCTAGATGTGCTTAACAGTAATATTTTAAGTCCAAAAATTCATTGTTTAAAAATATTCCCAGTCCAAAAATTCATCGTTTAAAATATTCTAAGTCCAAAAATTATTCAAAGTCCAAAAATTCATTGTTTAAAATATTCTAAGTCCAAAAATTCATGGTAAAAATTATTCTAAGTCCAAAAATTCATCGTTTAAAATATTTTAAGTCCAAAAATGGCCAAAATTATTCCTGGGCAAATTTTGAGTAATAATAAATTTTTGTGTGGTTTTAGAGGTAAAACATTTGTGCCATTCTTAAAGAGCTCCAGCTTGGCATCTGTGTACTATAAGGCATAACGGACTACCTGGACGTGGGGAGAGTAACTCGCTGGGCGCCTACCGAGTTACTCACCCCCACGGCCAGGTAGTCCGTTATGCTTGTATTTTTTTATATTATTGGTGAATGATAATTTGAAGAGGCTTTTATCCGGAGACGCTTCCAATTATCCTTTACCAAATTTTTTCAACGTTATTCCTGGCAATGGCAAACTCAAAAAACACTTAAGGGTAAAAAAAATGGCAAATTTTTGCTATTTTTAGCCATTTTTTTCACATTTTTTAGCTATTTTTATGTATTTTTAGCTTTTTTGGGGGTTATTCTTTCTAATTTTATATTTATTTTTGTATTTATATATTTTTATTATACTATTTATTATTTATTTATTTTACATATATAATTTTTTTTGTATATTTATTTTTATATATATTTATTTATATACTGTATATATTTGTTTATATATATTTTTCATTTGTATATTATGTGTATAAAATGAATTGGATATTTTTTCAAATATTTAATTAAATTATTTTGCTTCAAAATCTGAAGCTGAACTTAATCAATTTTCTGTAAAAGATAAAAATATTGTAAATGCTGTTAAAGGTTAATGAAGACATAATGACATTTAGACATTTATTAATGGAAACTTAATGGCTCTATAAATTTGCAGAGCAGTCCAGGACAGCAGCATGCACAGAGCAGAGCATTCCTGGGGAGCGGCAAGCACAGAGCAGAGCCGTCCAGGGGAGCGGCACGCGCAGAGCCGTCCAGGGGAGCGGCACGCATAGAGCAGAGCCGTCCAGGGGAGCGGCACGCACAGAGCAGAGCCGTCCAGGGGAGCGGCACGCACAGAGCAGAGCCGTCCAGGGCAGCAGCCAGCAAGCACAGAGCAGAGCCGTCCAGGGGAGCAGCACACACAGAGCAGTCCAGGGCAGCAGAGCAGTCCAGGACAACAGCATGCACAGAGCAAAGCCGTCCAGGGGAGCCGCATGCACAGAGCAGAGCCGTCCAGGGGAGCGGCACGCACAGAGCAGAGCCGTCCAGGGCAGCAGCCAGCAAGCACAAAGCAGAGCCGTCCAGGGCAGCAGCCAGCAAACACAGAGCAGAGCCGTCCAGGGGAGCGGCACACACAGCAGAGCCGTCCAGGGCAGCAGCCAGCAAGCACAAAGCAGAGCCGTCCAGGGCAGTAGCCAGCAAGGGGAGTCCAGGGCAGCAGCAAGCAAGTACAGGGCAGTGGCCAGTAAGCACAGTCTAGGGCAGCATGGTGGCGCCAGTGTTCAGAACAACATTTCTGTACAAAATAAAATGTAAAATTAATAGTGTATTAAATTTTTTTAACCATACAAATATTTTAAACATAGTAATGACAAAATGTACTGTAGTGTTTTAGACAAAATTCCTTAACACTTGACAGGACCAAATTTATAAACTCCATAATAGAAAAATAAGAAAATTTGTTAATTTGAATCTTTCACCAAATGATCCTTGATAAGTGTCCTGGGATTAATTTTATCAGTAACTGTACAGCATCTTGCCTAACTGTACAAGTTATGGTTCATATTGACAAAACTATGAAAAACCAAAAACCTTTCATCACAAAACTGTCCCACAAGTGAGCCATAATAGTTATTGAAGAGTCATAATATATTGAAGAGTCGTAACAATATATTGACGAGTCAACTACAATATATTGAATAATCCTGTATCTTTAGTTCATAGTTTTGTTAACATTTTTAAAATGTTTTCTTTCAATGACTGCTCGAGAAATTATCGATTTGTGAAGAATATTTTTACTTTACACAAAATTTACGTCAATGAATTTCTTGAGTTGGTTAGTCATAGGTTTCATTATATTCATTCTTATTCTACAACTGGGTACAATATCACACTGAAAGTTGCTATGAGTAATTTATTATTTACTAAATGTAAACATCTTAGAGGTAAACTATACATGAACATTTCTGAATTATTTCACAAAGTCAAGCATAAACACAACCCAAAGTTATTTTACTCGTGTTAGTTATAAATTTTATGTATTAAATGATTGTTTTTGAAGAAAAAGCAAAATATTTTCACAATACTAATTTATCCTAATCCAGTATTGTATTGCATAACATGACCCTAAACTGAAGGTTGTATACTCTAAGGAAGTACCACATCAATCTACTTAATCTAGTACAGTAATTGAAGAAATATCAAATACATTAGTGATGCACCATTAATGATAACCAGATTCAAAACTCCCAATAATCTGCCGCCAGATTTAAAACGGACAAACACAGATTTAGAGAATGCTATAATTTGTCAATTTTATTATGCAGGTAAAACAAAGTCACTATATAGTCTCACCACCAACGCCAGACTATAAACAAAGCAAAATATCAGCCAAATACAGTATTTAAATAAAGTAATTTACTCTAGTAGTAGAGAACCCATCAACAAATACATCAACTTTAGTAATTGTATTAAGGAATTTTTTGAAGCTGCAATATTAAGAGCAGCTGGGTATTAAATTCCATCGTTATCGCAGCGTTTAAGTCTACCCGGCACAACACGCAGTAATTATGAACTAATCAAGTGGTCAACTATTTATAGGTATAGAATATCAAGGCTGTTGGAACTGCAACCATGCAGGAAGAATACCGTGTATATTAAATATACAGTATACTATATGGTACAATGATAAGTACAGAATAACTCGACTTTATAATCTAACAAACACCTAAACTTGTTTCAATAAACTTGCCGTAAAACTGTTCACCAATGTTAACAAACACCGTCTTGTTTTGGTGCCCAGGAAAGTACAATTTACGTGAAAATGAAAGCAATAAGAGTCGAGGCAACGGTGATAAACCACACCAAGACCAGAAAATAGTAACTTGCGAGTTACTAAATTTATATTCCTTTATTATTGATGTTAAAGTCTCATCATGACAACCATTTTTTTGTATTATACTCGAGTTGTCTGCGTCAGCTCAACGTTTACTTGTACTGTACAGAGACGGTGGTGGAAAACCGTGCATTTCTAAACAAAGGCATTTTTTTTCTAACTTTCGACTTATTTTGGAACACTTAATAATTATTTACTCATTCTCTAATAAAATATAATATTTAAAGGGAATTATTTATCATTTTGACTAATTTTATTATAAAAAACTCATCTTCAGCCTCAACAACCTATGTCGTTCTTTATAAGAGTTATGATCCTGTACCAGGTAATTCTTAGTTCTAATTTGGGTAATATTGGTAAATAAAATATCTAGTGTACTTATACGATGCTACAATATATAAAATCTTTCTCGTCAGCGACTCTTTACCAGATTATTTTTCTCTTCAGATTAAACAAAAGCTACTTTGTCTGGCATGCTATATTCATTACCGTATAATGAAGTACTGTAGACTGACCTGCACAGAGGTTACTACCATGTTATCCAATCACAAACGTCAGAATGATCGGCAGTCAAGTGCGACATTTCCATAAGTGGACAGTCTTGATGGTTTCCGTTATTACTGTATTTTGCCGGTAATTAAAATGTTACCTAGTAATTTCTTAACTCGAAACAGACAGCAAAACGACATCGGCTAATACTTTGTTTACAGACACGGATTATTGAGCAAAATATTGATATTATCTGTAGTCGATATCTATTAATTGGTGCATCCTAAGTATTGTACAATACTATTACTTGATTGACATTTACACTTAGAAGAGGAGTCAACTAGACAAGGCAGTCCTGGGTTACAATTACTGTACTTTGTCAGAGTTTAGTGAATAAACCACAATGAGAACAATACTGTACCCAACCTGACTTGCATTTCTGGTACAGCAAGAGTCAGTTCACCACAAGAAAACTCTTGTGGTCATTTCTTGCATCCTCCATCTTCAGGTCACCATCCTGGAATGAATAATTTATACAACTATGAACTAAAAATTTAAATAATATACCTACACTATACTGTCTATATAAAGTAAAGTACAGTAAGAACGGTGACCAAAACTAAACCATATTTCATTAATTTAAATTAAACTATAAGCCAAAACAGTAAAGTATTCTCTAAAGTAACTAGTCAATTTGATTACGAGTGTCAACGACCATTAACCTATGCTTGTTCATAATAGTAATAAGTTAACTTCAGTATTTTTTTTAAAGTCCGTTTAAACTTATTTCATTCTAAAATAAATCCATACAATATCGACAAACAAATAACCTTAATATATCGACCTTTACACATGTATAATTTTAACAATAAATAAATTAAAAATAAGACTTACTATACGTTTTACGAACAGCGTCTGTCAAGTGAGAGAGACGACCGACAGCACCTTGCTGTTCGATGTCTCGATGGGCACTGGAGTGGAGTTTCATTTGCGAATCACCTCTGTATGGTCTCGTCCCGCCAAAAACCTTAACCAAATGAGGGCATATTAAAAAAATAAATCCAACCTTAATCGTACATCCAATTTTTATAACAAATTTCAATGAAAAAATTATTCATATCATGTTGTAGAAAAAAAAATTACGGGAAACTTTACGGACAAATAAATAGGAATAAGAATACTGTACTACAGTGTTCCAAAAAGCCATGGTGACGAATCAGGGCTGCCAACATTACCGATTTAGTCAATTATATCATAAAAAATACTTGAATATTACTGAAACATTTGCTTTTATCAAAGAATAATATAATACTTTTTAAATGAATTAAACCTTTAACTAAGAAAACCTTACCTGGAAAAATATAGACGAAGTACGTCCCCGACTACAATAATGGTCGTTACCATACCTTACTGGGTGGTTACCGCTCATTAGTAAAAGATAGATATATAGGCAGTTGCAGGCGCACTAATCTCTCAGGGTAGCTGAGGTTGCCTTCATGCAGGTGGTGGCCCTCCTTAAGACATTTACAACTGAGTCCCTTGCATATTTCGGGGACAGTACTCCAGGTTGGTTGATAATATTCCATCCCTGGGAACGTCCCTGAGGACGCCACCATCCCTGGGAGAGCCCCTAGGGGTACTGTCGCGCCTGGGAGCGCCGCCGTCTCCAGGAGGGTTTCTGGGGGCGCCACCGACCCTGGGGTGGGTCTTTGGGATGATCCCAGTGAGGGCGCCGCCATCCCTGGCAGGGTGTCTGGGGGTGCCACGGCTCTTGACAGGGCCCCTGGGGTCGCCGCCACCCCTAAGAAGGGCCCCTGGGAATGCCGCTGCCCTTGAGTGTCCCTTATGGGCGCCGCCACCCCTGGGAGGGTCCTTGGGGTCACCAACGCCTCTTAGATGGCCTGTAGCGTACTATATGTGGCCAGTTGTCAATTCTCTTTGTATGGGCACACAAACGTACGTACATGTAGATATCTCACACTCAGGAATGAGGTAGGATAGAAACTCACAATGCGCTTTCTGTATATATATTGTTGTACAGCTCAGTGCTTAGGAGTGACTAGGTGAGGAGAAACTTGCTCAGAGGTCCTGTAGGACGAGGAGGTTTCTGAGGAAGCTGAGTGGTGAGGAGCTGTGAGAGATGTTGCTGGTCCAGTAGCCGAGTGTAGAATGGTCTCCCTGGCCAGGCATGGCCGTATTTATACAATTTACGAGGATCAGGATTTGGGGTGAGCTTAGCGAGAGGGCCAATCACAGCAGCTTAAGCGTAAGGTGTGAAACGCTCTGAACCTGAACCGGAGGTTGAAGGTCGAGACTAGGTCGGCGATCATACCCCTACGTCCTCTGCATAGACCTAGTCTCTCGGCGTAGCTGGCTGTACGCTGATTGGCTGGTAGGCGCGCGGCCGGAGCTCAGTTGGGAGTTGTAGGGGAGAGGAGCCACTACAGGCCCCCGCCAGAGGGTGTGCCTCTGGGGGCGCCGCCTCCCATGGTGTGGGCCTCTGGGGGCACCGCCTCCCATGGTGTAGGCCTCTGCGGGCGCCAATGCCCTTTGGAGGGCCCCTGGGGGAGCCACTGCCCCTAATTACCCCACAATCAAATCGTGGAGCATATATTCAAAATCAACATGCTCAGGTGTACCTATAAAGTGATTTTCAACAAAATCTAATTTTGGGCCAAAACTCTTGAAAATGTAAGCCCTTTGTAATTTTTTACCCAAATATACTTTTCTCTCGGAAATTTTAGGAGTTTAACTAATTAAGTTACTTACAGAATAACACATTAATACTAAAATCGCACTTTGCAAACCCCATGTTACCGAGTAATTAGCACTGAAAAATGTCAGTAAATTTTCCAGACATCATTACAACCACTAATTACCCCACGTATGTATAGTTGATACGCAAGCAAAATTATTATTGTTTTACTTCATGTGCAAATTTGCGTATGAAAACCCTAAAGCGATAATAAATATCATACGCAATTTGGCGTATGAAAACACCAAGGGTGTTAATAAAATTTTGTTGAGTAATTTCATATATCAGGAGTAGTAAAAATAAAACTGCACATCTTACAAGCAAATGTATATTATCAAATTATAGTTACATGGTAGAAGCAGTTAAAACACTTAGGTAAACATGTGGATCTTACCATTGTAAATCTGATTGTTTTATGCATCACAGGCATAAGTACAGTACCATTATTTGAAAGACAAGATTACATCAAGACCAGGTCATAAAGATTACCTTAAGATGAAAAAAACACATTTATATTTTTTCATTATTGTCAGCATAATGTAAACTGTATAATAATTACATGAGTATTTTATCTCATTCAAGAACAAATACTGAAAAAATCACTCACAAATCATATACTGTAACATAAACTTGATGAACTGGTATCTGGTGTGCATGAGGTAAAAATCACTGGAAAAAAAAACTGTAATGTCATAATAACCTCAAGTAACACGAGCATATGGTAACTTTTGACAGGCAGCATTACCTACTGTTAAGCCAATGAGGCATTTATGGAACAGATCACCAGCCACGGCTTCATCTAGTTCCCTTAATTCTATGTAATGACTGTTGCACATTTAAATCTAGCTTAGTGTGACCAGAACATAAAGCTTGTACCTCCAAGCTCCTTATAGTGACTAGACACAGAGGTAAGGCTTCCAGTGTTCATCGTTAACCTTTGACAATGGACACTGCCAAGACTTACAATGTGCACCAATGTCTTTCTTTATACAGCAACGAGACTTAACAGTGTACCAAATATTCCACAATGTGTAAATCTTGAAAAGTTTTAAATCCATTTTCTTAAGTGTTCAATTTAAGGAAAACATTTATTAAAAAGTCTGGGAACACACCACTCTTTATAATGTCAAATATTTAACTGAATAAGACAAGTGTATCTCAAAACAACAGCATCAAACTCATAAATGATATACAGTAATTCTATTTAACAGAAGATACGAGATAAAGTATTTTCATTTATACAAGTTAACCTTAATTCCCTACTGGCTGAAGGAACCTGTATTGGAACACTCAATGCCTACATCACCCAGAACCAAAATAAACCAGAAACATCATTATTCTGGGTAATAAAATTTGATTCTATGTTTACATTTGGCATGCCTAAAAAACTGTAGCAATAAATGTTATATATAATGAAGTTTCTGATTACTATGATCTGTAATAATGGAGTAATTGATGTACAGTGATCATCCTTCAGGCTTTCTATATCATGACCAACAGTGTGTTCCACCAGCCACACAAACACATCTCCTTTGGTCATACAGCACCATACAAAAATACAAACCCTCCTCTCCCCTAAAAAATATTCTATGGCACTCTTAGTTTGTGCAGCTTCATAGCCTTTGTACTTATTCTACAAAAATTCTGGTCATCAATGTCATGCACCATTTACAACTATCATTTGCTGAAAAATATTAAGTAAACTTATGAGATTTTAAATCTCAAGTTCTCATTTATTTTGTAAACCAAACTAGAAAACTGACAAAATACTAATACTGCAATGCAAATCTAACAAGTGAACCTTGGCAATGTACAGTACTGTACATGCTATATGAAGCAATAACTTCTAATAAAAAAGTTTCACCTACCCATTCCACTTGTATACAAATTAAAAATGTATGAAAAATTACCTTCTACAAGATTGTGTCTCAATTCAATCTAAAAAAAATTAATTCACAGTTTCTCAACAATCAGTTAGTCTCCACAACATCCAGCACTGGCTTTCATGACCAATGACAAGAGTAAACCATAATGGAAAATTTTATTATCACAGCTTGCCAACTGATTTCAAAATGAAAGGGAAAAATAAAATAGTTTATGGCATTAAGGCATGATAGCAAAACGTTGAAGGCTTAAACTTGTGACCTTATATGAGTAGTATGTGTATTATTTCAAGAGTGCAAATGACATACTTTGTGACAAAATGTATTGAATACTACAAAAAGACACCAAAATGACTTAATGGAAACAACACTATTATTAAAAAAAATCACATTTCACTTTATGGCAAACAACACTCATTTATTATTGGACATCTACCAAACCAATAAATTAACACTAAACACCAAACTCTCTGTCCTTTTGCTGTTACAGTTAACAAAGATGACATACTTGAACATATTGAGGTGATGACTGTCAAAACGGGGGTAGGGGGTAACTCACTGCACAGTACAAGTAAACACATAAATTACATCACATCAACAATAATTTATAAACATACTGTATTGAATTCCTTTCTTCTATGGTCATAACTTTTAAGCTTACTTCTCTCTCATGACAGAAATCCTCTTCTAAATATAGTACAAGAAATCAAGAGTTAACATTATTATAATTGTCAAAGTATGGCAAACTGCAAATATGGCTTGGAATTTTGATTTTTCTTATGTCTGTTTATGTGATATTACTCTAATAGGAGCATGGTGGTGGTGGGGGGGGGTGGGGTAGTATGCTGTAGTGACATTTCCATACACATGGCTCCTGTTGGCAAAGATTCCACCATGGTTCATACTCCTTACAGCATGGTCAATTAGGTACTGTATCAAGGCCTTTTAAACTATTAAGTAATCCTCTTCTAAAATCATGTTTCAAGCTGTTTTGGTTCATGATTTTTGAGAAGTACAGTACATTAGTTATAAAGTGAAACACAGAAGAGAGGATCATCATACATACAGAGATAAAGATAAGGAGATTAACCCAAGACACAGTCATGTTTTCAAATCAACTACAGAAGGCTGACAGGTTTGGAGCATGTTTAACCAATGATGAAAGCTAAAGTCTATGAAGAAACTGTCCATTTTATATCTGACCAAGGATGACAATACCCTTGGCTGACATATGACAGATGACTGACTGAATGAAGAAAAATTGTGAATTAAATATGGACAGGACAATAAGCTCTAAAACAAATCCTAACAAACTCTAGCTCTTGATTCATCAGTAACATGTTTCAATTCGTACATGGCTGAAATTTGGTAGTTAGAAATGGATGGAGAAGAAAACTAAAAAATTCTGTAGAGAGTAAAAACAAAAATTACTGAATTTCAACAATGCAATCTGTAATGTATAGTAAAATCACCTAAAAATTATCAGTACCAAATTTTGAATGTTTACTGGCATTTTATCTGAAGGAATGAATATGTGGATCTTATGTTTATCAGTCTTCAAGGTTTTCTCTTTTTTATCATTTCAACTCTAATAATTTACCTTTGAATTGTGACCTAAACACATGGTAGTACAGTACTGCTTTTCATTAACATCTAGTAATTAATTTTATTCTCACGTTACATTACACCAATTAAACTCACCTGTAAAGAATCTGAATTTTACCCTTTAACATGACCCCCCTCATATTTATTTTATTGCTCATTAACTGATACTGTGGAGAAAAAGAAAATCACCACAAAACAACCTTACAATACAGCAGAAATCATTAATTTGTGAATTGTATTACAATTATAGCAAAGACTGTCCAAATAGGAATGTATTAAATTATATTTTTTAATGGTATATGATCTAATAAAGCTAAATACAACTTTCAAGGCTGATATAACCACTAAGTGTGCAGGTAAGAGTACAGTATTGCTCAATGAACTCAAGAACCACCACTTAATTCCTTAACTGGAATGAGTAAAAAAATAAAACATATGACTCACATCATCCAATCCATCACAGCAAGATCAGCCATTCAAGCCTCAAGTTGGTCCCAAAACATTACCTTAAGAAATCATGAATAAGGTATTATATTTGTAAAGTGTTTAAGAAGACTGTTACTACCTTGAACATAAAACACCTTTAGAATAAGTTTCACCGAGTCCTACATGACAGTCAACCATACCACATCAGTGGAAGCATTAGATAGATTCCTTGAAACAACTCACCACAACACAGCAATGAGACATCCAATGATTAACTCCGCCCGGCTCAATCCCATGATGTTTGTGAGATACCAATAAAGTTTATTCCACCGGGTACCAGAAGCAATATATACATATAGTACAAAAGTCAACAACTTTATCTTCATGTAAAACTTATGCAAATCTCTTCTACAAACAAAGTGGACACTCTCTTTGGCTAATTTCATATGAACATCTGTGTACAACAAATAATTAGTAAACAATAACTTCACTTCATCCTGATTGGTTAGTATAAAACATTAAACCACAGGGAAGTTATAATGGCACCTTTATATCATAACTCTGGAATTTAATAACAAAGTTACTCAAAAATATCAGAGTTTAGTATCTTATGTGTTGATATATATATGAAAGACTTCTTGGTGAACTATATAAGTAAGGTGTGTGTGTGTGTGTGTGTGGTATTACAATGTAGTAGCCTCATTCTTAAACAACTCATGACTATAGATCAGAAAGTACATCGTCTACATGACATGTGACGGAAATGCTCTAATTCATTACTTTCTCTACATTCTTAAGTGAACCCCACCGTGGGAGCAGGTCTTCTACATGTCACTAGTATCAGGCAAATGACATTAAAAAGAGTCTAATCTCTTTATGTCCATCAACCTCGATAAACTTCGGGTAATTATTTTATTATTACGGTACAACCATCATTTGTATAATTAAATCAAACTGTAAAATGAAATATTGCATAATACTAGAGCTCTTTACAGGGCAGAAATCTAAATTCAAATGATATGACAAAGACTTATACACAAAATCGCTGAATTAATACTGTACTGTACATTACTAGAATGAATCATCTATGAAAAACTCAGGCAGTGTAGCAGTCCTGATTCATTTTGATTCCTTAGAAGTTGAGGAAGAATGGACTTATCTGAGCTTTCAAGGTCCTTATATTCTGTCACCTAATTTATCCTCTTAAGATGGGACTGGAGTAAGGTAGACAGACGTTGATCATTATATACTGTAGATAAAGCTCTTAGGGAAAACATAAATAACGAATCATCCTTAATAAACAGATCCTTTGATGATTTTCATATTCCTGAATGGTATACACACACACATACATACAATTGTGTGTGTTACTAAACTACAAATATTAAACCTAAGTAAAAAAAAAAAAATACCTGTAGTGCAGAATATATAAAATTCATTAATAACAGCAAAACATTATAAACACACAAACACAAATAAAATATATACATATGAATGAGCATGAGCAGAAATTCCCACTCACAGAAATGTATATCCAGATTTGATCAATTGAATTTTGTGTTTATTAACCCCTTGAATATGATGACTTAACCCCTTGAGTACAATGACTTAACCTTTTTAATACAATTACCATGAACCTTTCAATAATGTACTCAAAAGATTATATCATCACAGAGGATTCAATTACATTACTGTACACTACCAGCAAGTTCTTTTCAGGCATTATGATGTCAATGCCAAGAAATAACTGTACTTCACTGACATCATTTCTTCTCATTTCCATCGTCATAAAGAGTAAATTAGATTATATAAAGAAACTCATATTAGGGATAAGGTTAATATTCTACACTGAACTGTAGTATCACTCTGTCCTTAACTCTAATGAAAATGATATATTACTCATGGGATATAACCAAGAACTCATTACCAAACAAAATTCATGCATAAGAAACATTAATTTTCTCAGTAGTATACATTATCACCCATCACAATAAAATAATACCTTGTGGTCACTTTTGCTTCGCTCTCATTTTATATTTATTATTGTTTTATAAATATTGAATACTGTAATTATCTTTGAAAAACAAATTAACTGTTACAGAATCATGGCCAACTAACTTTAAAGAATCATTACCCTACTGCAACACAGATTCTCCTGCTGGTAGAAGTGCCCGGTAGTCTTAGCTCAACTATCACTTGACCTTCCAAACATGCAATTACTGTACTGTATGTCATCTCCCTAATAGTCTCTTTCTTCGCACGCTGCTTCAGCATATCCTCGATACATTCAGACCTCTAATTCTTGGCCTTTTCATTAAACACATCCTGGTACTTGTTAAATTTCTACATTGTCTGTTAACATTGTAAGTTGTCTACACTCTCATAATAGGGAAGGATCTTCATGATTGTGATTCTTGTCAGGTCGCGGTGGCTTCCGTGGGGGTTCAGGAGATAGATCCGGGGGAAAGGCAAATACAGGCTGTTGAGAAATGTTATCATTAACTTTGATATTCTAATATCTTCTTTAACACTAGCATATTTTCTGGCTCATTCATATGGTTAAGGTTTTCACTAACTTCCAGTCTAAAAAGTATCTAATGCTCAGGTGATTTGTGTCCTTAACTATGGCCTCTATTATCTAATAATTTTGAGGCTATTGTGTTTTACAAAGACACTGTTGGGTGTTACACTTATGAGAATCAAGTATGCTTTTAACATTTCTGTGAATGATAAGAAGATAATGAATTAAACTAATTTAATACTATTTACAGCTCAGGAAGTTAAAGAAATCTTAAAGGGTAGTACATGTTGTAAAATGAGGGACTAATCCTGAAATCCTACTGTACTGTGTATCATCAAGTGATGGAACACTCGAGTGAGGGTTCATCAGAATGACTACTGAGTCAAGATCTACTTTCTAGTGTTCTAACCTTTGACCTTCCTGTGACCTTAATCTAGTGTTGACTGATACCCTTGTGTACTGATACAAGAGTTATGCTCCCCACAACATTTTGAACTGTCAACCTTCGGCTTTGATCTTGACATCTATTGAACCACAGCAGCCAAACAATAAGTGCAGCTGTACCTGATGATTAAACTATTTTCCAAGATTGAAGTCAATCTGACTGTAATTTTAAGAATTTTTATAAGAGAAAAGTTTTTGAGATATAACTAGATGGGGTTAACTCTAAATGGACCTTCTTGCGATGGCATAAAAACATATACAGTACAGGGTGTACAGTATAAATACTTTATGATGAGCTACAGGAAGTACATATGACAGTGCATTCTGCCAATGGGGCTTACATGAGACAACCCATGACATCAGGCAAGTAGACCCAGTGTTACATATCACATACAGACTGAAGCAGGATAGAAATATACAGTACAGTATCTCTCTATGGTCTGGATATTTGTGAACTAGTTGTATCTTATGATAAGCCAGTGGGGAAGATGGTTACATCAATAATAATACAGTAGTGGTTCACACCAAATATCAACTATATATCACCTCATCTATGAAGATTTGAATAAGTGACCAATGGATTGTACATGCCCACTATGATACAATGTTCACCCACTGTACCATATTCACAACTAGTCTTAGAATGAACACATAAACTGTACCCACCTTGGGGGCAACCAGAGACAAGGCGCTTAACCTGACAGATGCGCTGTCACCATCTTGGTCACGCAACTTTACAGGCAATGGCGGTGGAGCCTCCTCCTCACACACTGAACCAGTCGGTGTACTCACTGTAATAAAATATTAAACATAACTTCTACTTATAACTCATAGCTTGGAATAAGTAAATGATTCTGCACTGATGGATGCCAGAACCTTGGACTTTGCTATCTGTTTATGGAAATCCAAATTATCCAGTCATAAATTAGTTAGTGTAAGACTGTAACAAGCAATGACTATCAAAGCCCAAATTTACTACTGGGCCTAATATACTGTACACACTCTTTGTACAAGTAATTAGAACTTCCACTAATACCTGAACCACACATACTTTTCGTAAGTACTGTACAGGGTATTAGAATCCCCATATAATAATTACCGGTAACACATATATTCCGTACACAAATATGTAAATGGCCACTTAATATCTCCTTCATCCCAAATGTACTTCCATTAGAACCTAAATATTTACACCTATACAGTAAATACATGTTTGCTTATAAGCATTGAGAATTTGATGACTAAATGAATTAACCCGATGCATTTCTTGCTAAAACACTTACTGAGGCTCTCTCGGGAACCTATTGATGGTGAGGGAGTCACTGAGTGTGACGAACTAATGGTGAGGGAGCGTGGCCGTGTTAGATATCTATCTCTCTCTGCATCTATTCTCTTTGGGCGTTCAGGTGTCAGCTAAAAGAAAAGAAAAAGAAAAAAAGGTGGGATGTTAATCAGCTTCCAATTATCCATTACTTAGGCAGAAACAAATCAATGAATTTATAGTATCTGAATGAAAACATAAGGCCACAAATGAAAAAGTGTCCTTATTCAAAATTTTACCTGGCAGAAATCTATATTATTATTATTGTAAAAATATTCATATACTGTAAATAGGAAAATGCTGTAATGGTTATTTGTATTTATTAACTGCATCTTTACCTATATTATGAATGCAACAGAAATGAGAATGTTGTTATACAGTAAAATCAAGATACATATTTTCTTCAAGAACAAGGGGACAGTAAGGTATTTCTCCACATTACTATAAAAGGTCGGGAAACTCTGCATAGGGCGATTCTGTTAATCAGCTTATAGAAAGATAAGAGTTGAGAGTAATAATATTATCTATTAAAACACAGTAATAAACAATAGCAAAGTGAACTAAGCTCTAGAAATAGAAACATATACATTAATAAACACATGTCTGGGTTTTCCGAGTTAGTATTTTGAACATTTTCAGCGACAATGAGTTTATTAGAGGCAAAGGTTTTAGAGAAACAGCAGACTACAAAAACGACAAGAATTCATTTGTTATTTTAGTACAGTACATGCAATTCAATTAAGTTCTTTAAAATCGTCCTATCACAACATAATTGACGAAGATATTTACTGTATACGGTGTTTGAAAAAATATTGAAAGGACCTGCCTACCTCATGTGAGATATACTACATCAGCAAAGAGTAATGGTCTCCTTACACACTGAGTACACCCCATCACATCTTCACTCATCTTGTTTAACCTGGTAATCTCACAGAGCAGTTTGACTTCAGAATATACAGTACCTGTACTTACACAGTGTGTCTATTGGCCAGACAAAACAAAATTCCCTGGCTTTTCCAGGTTTTTCAGGTACTGTACATTAATTCTGTATTTATTATGACAATAAAAAAATTAGAGGTTTTTAATAATACATATAGTATACTGTATACAGTACTATTTGGAAATTTAAAGATGATGTAAATGATATTAATCAAGAAATTGAAGACCCTTTCGCGACCCACCCCAAGCCTAGTGATGAACATTGGCAAAGACCTTGCCACCCCTGTCCATATTTAACTCCTCGGTACTGTACATTAATTCTGTATTTATTATGACAATAAAAAAATTAGAGGTTTTTAATAATACATATAGTATACTGTATACAGTACTATTTGGAAATTTAAAGATGATGTAAATGATATTAATCAAGAAATTGAAGACCCTTTCGCGACCCACCCCAAGCGTAGTGATGAACATTGGCAAAGACCTTGCCACCCCGGTCCATATTTAACTCCTCGGATTTGTGTGATTCACTTGGGTCGACCTGGATGCCCCCCCCCCCCACAAAAAAGAAAAACAGAAATCCAGAAAAAACAAAATCACACTCCTGATCCACCTATGTGACTCGTGATTAATATGTGGAATAATCTACTTAAATAAAGTCACTTAATTATAAGGACTATTCATCTCTGACAATACTCACTGCAGAGTTAGTAGGTATAACCTGTAATACTTAGTTTTTGATCACTAACATGAAATATGACAGGTACACAAACAATTTTGTTATTGGAGCAGACTATTATTGGAATTTGTTCCTAAAAGTTTAATTATTTACCTATTATAAAGTACGTACATCATTAATTTACGGTAAGATTATTGTCAAAACAATATTTTGAAGTAGAATTGAATTCACATACAATTCCAGGTTTATTTGTAAATTTCCCTGGCTTTTCCAACCCCAAATAAAATCCCCTGCCTTTTCCAAGTTTTTTATACCAGTAGACACCCTGTTACACACTCAACTCACACACTAATATTTGAGGAACTATACAGCACACCTCTCCATTCTACCCTATGCCCAAAATTCTCTCACGTCTTCTCATTCAATTTTATTTAATTCACCACATTCATATGTCAGTTACCACAGCCATCAAAACACCTGCCCGACTCCCTCTTTCACAACTTTTTTCAAATCTACATCTCTTGCTAACCACCCAAATTCTTTTCTGTATTACCTGTACTTCAACTGTTTACATTCTGACCATACAAAATAGTAATTACTTCTTATTCCTATTGTGTTACAAAACAAAGGGCCATAGTTACAATCTGCAGGCAGCACCAAGCTTGGGCAGCAAATGTTGACAGTGTTAGATGCTTCAAGCAGTCATGAAAAACAAAATCATTTGGACACCTACTGGAACTGTTACCTGCTCAGTCAATTCAATGATTGGCTGAGGTGGCACCGCATGGGGCTCTGACCGATCAAACCACTGAGTTGATGATTCACGCTGGGAAGAGAAGCTCTCGCGACGCAGCAACCGGCTGATGAATGAATTGATGTAATACGACTTTAAAAAACATGAAAATAATTATTAATATAATACCAGTAAAGTTTTACACATTACTGTACTTTTAATGGGAAAAGTAAAATACACACTTTACACTGGATGTAAAATTTCATACATGGATAAGTATGAGAAAAAAATATCAACAGATTAATCTTGAAACTCCCATTTCATAACCCAAGACAAGACAAGAGGACCCAAGCCTACAAGATGATAACCTAGGCTTACCCTCAACACCAACAGCTAGTATTGTACTAAACAAACAATTAGTACAGTAATACCCTAATGTTGAACCATTGATTTATTATTTTTTATTTTGCCGCTCACAGAGGCTACTTTATTGTGCACCCCACACTCCAAGTCCTTAAAAAGGGGGTCTTAGAAGTGACAGTTATCAAAGAAAGGTGCGGGGTTAATGAGTCTTAGCACTAAATAATCTTGCACCACCTATTTTCCTTGTCAGTCATTGGTTACACAGAAACATCCCAATTAACAAAAGTTTGGGTTACAACACTTCCATGTTAGGAACAAGCCTCCAGGAGCTTTACTGACTACTGTATATAAGAACACTCCCTTGGCTTTACCAACAATACTTACTCTTATTATAATAGAAACATACATCAATGAAACAGGACAGAAAATAAATATTTCTATGAATATCACTTCAGTAATACCCAGCTTAAAGCACCACTTCACTACAGCACTCTTCATACTGGAGAGAATTTTTTATCTTTACGTATATATAGCTACAGTACTTCTACAAATAGACATTTGATACTGAGATGAAACAGTTCAACATCACTTCATGAAATGCCCAACTCAGGTATGTATAATAAAAGCCTCCATTTTGTCTCTTCCTGAACAGAGAGAAAGAGCCAAACAGAGCATTACCGAGGAGAGAAAAACTAAACTATCAGTACATAACTCTTGGAAAAGTTTGGACCAATGATAATGCTCTGGCAGGCAGAATCCAGTTCTCAATCCCCAGACCTGAGACTCTTTCACCCCTCAGTGGCTACTGTCCCTTCCAAGTCTCCTTTTTAACCCTCAAAAGGAGACCATCATCAGTGGATGCTTCATGTTCCTTTGCTGCCAGTTAAGGGTGTACTGTATATTTGTTTGATTAGCACCAGACATGTCTGTTGAGGATTAGCCCGGGAAGTCAACCCAACCAAAAAAGTCTATAAAAAGCTTCATTAAAATGTTTTTGACTGAAAGTAATGATTCAGTTTCTCTGTCCGTGAAGACAGCAAAGAAACAAATTTATAATACTAATCAACACCGTTTCTGTAACCAGGTTCAGTATGTAATAATAAAAATAAGAAAAACATCTACCTGAAACTCTTCTTCTCCTTGGATGACTTTGTAGATGTTCCATTCCCAATAGTTGAAGAGATCTTATGTTGCCGAGGCAGGGTGCCAGGGTAACCTTTTCCTGAGGTGCTTAATCTTGAGAGGGATGACTGGGAGTTTGATAATGACATACCCCTGAAATGGTCAAGATTGATACCAAACTAGACAATGTATTATATTACCTATATCTCTGATGTCTTGTAACATCTTTAATACTTTGTTCCCTTTAAGACTCAAGTAGTCGTCAAATTTATAACATTTCTTAAACACACTACCAACTCATCATCTCAATATTACTAGAGTATAAAAAAAACTTAATAATTAATAATCTACGGGAAAACTTGATGTTCACGGCAAGATCATACTACTCCTTGTTCTGAACCACGGACACTACAACTATATCAAAATACTGTATATGCTATAGTTAAATCTGGTAGTATAACTACTTATCCATCTACAGTTATTACACTAAAAAGTAAATTGGTCGATGAAGTATAAATAACATTAATAAATTACTTGTGAGGAGTAGACTATATTAATAAAATCTTAATGTATAGTAATGAGGTTTGTTCTGGGTAGATCAATTCTTAGTGCCCCTCAACACCCGAACTCTCCCCTGTAAGTAACTAGAGGATTACTAGGCACAACCGTCTCTTTCTTAAATGAGACAAGTTACCGGGGAGGGAGAGAGTTCCATAAGACTTTAATGGTACTAAAATCTCAAACACGAACTTACCTGTGTACTCCCCCATGACAAAATGTGCATACAGTGAACCCTCTATTTAACGGACTACATGGAGAGGAAAATCCATTATATCGAGGGCCGTTATATGTGAAACCTCCATCTAACGAACTATATAGAGATAAGAGTCCATTATACAGAAGTTTCACTGTATTGTGTTTAGTCACTATTTTTATGTTGTTTATTTTTTCACACAGATACCCGGTACACAAATTTATAAAATCTTGATCAATTACGATATTAATTTATTTTATATTCCGAACAGTATATTATAAATAGTTCTTTAATCATATTTAAATACATGTAAAAACATTAATGCTTTTGGGAATTTTTAGTTGAATGTTATTTTTTTTTATCAATGAGATCAAAATTCAACCATTCTGATGTCGCATGCCCTTATAAACACAAACAAATACATGCATACACTCGTAAAAAAAAGTATTATACTCCCCAGGTTGTATCAGCGGGGGCAAATGAAACAAAACAATCGCAACTCACTTTCTTACCTAACCTTTTTCCATAATTACTTTTAAACAGTTTATTTATTTCCCTAGTATTTAAATTTCTGCATTATTAGTACAGTATTCCTCATGTATTTGTCTTCACTCTTCTGCCTACTCTCTCTAGTATCACCGAGTTTGTTTATATACTACCAGTACTGTAGGGACAAAGTCAACACCTTTAACAACTGGTAGATCTTCAATTGTTTTTTCCATCCCTGCAAGCCTTGTCCCATACAGTACAGGGTGGCCAGAATCAAGAGAAAAACATAGCTCCCCTATTCACTCTGTAGCTGCTTTACCACAACAAAACACCACAGGTTGTCAAATACTGTACTGTACTGACCATCTATGAATAACGACAGCCTGAGCTCTCACTCTCATTTGATAAAATCTATGGCATTACCTAAACTCTTGGTTAAAATAATCCCCCTAATTGTCATCCAAGTATTACTAAAACCAAGAAACTTAAATCAAGATTAAAGTCGCCTGAATTTTGGTCTTAACTGAATTAAGTTGGATCAGTTTAATAGCTGTAAGTTAAAACCAATAAAAAGTTGGTCCATTCAAGCATGCAGCTCACAAATACTTCTTAAAGGACTGAAAGACACTTATTAAGTAGTAAATAGTGTCACATGTAACCAAGAAATGTAGCACAATTTTCTCATCATATGATCATGTGTAAGAATGAATACATCTACTGCACAGGGAAAAACAGGGAAGCTTTTATCATGTCTCAGAATATTATCTGATGTACAGGAGGCATTGTTTAAGAATTATCCAGAAAAAAAACATAATTGTGGTGAACGGCTCAAACTTGTCTCTGCACACCAACAATAAGAGACGGCATACATAAAAGAAACCATAGTACTGTAACTGATAATCCTTTACTCGTACCTCAACTGATATATGACAGTCATTTTGTGTTTATTGAAGAATGACTCATGCAAAAACTTCTTCTTGTACATGCACTGACTCATAACCAACCCTTGAGTATGTTCTATGTCCAGAGACTGTATTCCCAATTAATACTGAGGTCCCCCTGACACACACACACACAAACTTGTTATATAATAAATGTAGGAACCTCCATCAGCAGAGAATTACTATAACATGCCTTAACAAGTCATGCACTCATGTAAAGACTATGGCTTTACCTGTCATGTGAGGGGATGTCACTCCTGTGGTGTTAGCCAGGGGGGGAGGGGAGGGAGGTGGCCTGAAGGAGGAGGCAGGAGAAGGATTGGGGGGGCAAGAAGGAATAGAGCAAATGAAAATAACCAGAATGCAAATGAAGAGGAAACAATAAAATAATAATAATATTTAGAAGTAGATAATAAATATTTGAAACAAAGACAGAATTTTTCAAAAGTTCTAAGATACAGATGAAGAAAGTCCAGTTAAGATGAAGTTCATTGAAATGCTGTGATAAACACCAGCCACCGTGAGAACTATCAATCGAAGAGCTCGTACTAGTCGTCATATTTCCCTTTCGAATAAAATTTCTAATGCTGGAATCTCTCATCAGCATTATTAACCAAGTCCATTTTGATATAGTAAAAAAAAAAAAAAAATCTGAGACGTCTAGTTTCTATCATGTGGAAAACTTAAGGATGTAGACCTGGCACATAAAAGTTAATAAATAAGTCATCAGCGGTCCTTTTGTTTCTTGTGAGGACTCGTGACTCTATTCCTCGTTAGGTCTCATGAGTAAAATTCTGAAAGTCCAGGATAAAAATGGTTTACACAGCCTGTACTTGGAAATACACTTTAAAATGTTATTATTATTATTATACAGTACCTCATTTGATGGTAGTATCATGAACAGGCCCACAGAGACCTCCTCCTCTCCTCTGTTATTATGTACTGTACAAGGCAATGCTGAAGACCTGAGTTTTCACTGATGGTTTTTATTACTTTATAGCAGAAAATGCATGGAGGAAATTCTGTACAATTAACTCATCTAATATGAGTTCCTCTACAAAATCTGTGTCTAGGTCCTCATTTTATTTATTTTTTAATCTCTCAAGACTATCTCTGTTATGATGCAGTGTGGCTGGTCTGGTTCTGATTCCTGTTTCTTATCACTCAGCAGCTAGTTTTGGCCAAAAATTTGATTTCTCTGAAAATCTCAGTATAGGTACTCCTGAGCAAGCTGATTATGAATCTATGGTCAACAATTCGATTGCAGGGTAATTAGTGGCCTTTATTAATTCCCAAGTGACCCACTGCTATAAAGCAGCTAATCCATCAAACAGACCGCGCAGAACTTGGCCCATAAACTCACACAGGTTAAAATATTTAAATTGTTGACTATACAGTACTGCATATACTTATTTCTCTGTTACATTTACTTACTCTTTAGTGATGAAACAGTAACAAATTGTGTGTTAAGATTATTCTTTAAATAAATAATAATTTTACTCATCATAAACTGGCTGCATCTACCTGACCTGTGGGGCACAATAAATAGAATTTCTCAATCACCCCACAGGCCACACAAACACAAGGTCAAAGCTGCGGGTTGCCCATGCCTGGTGTACAGCATGAAACTGACTACTTCTCAGTAACATGGGGGTGATGTAGTTTTAAAAAGTAATAAACATAATCCACTATGCAATGATAAAAGGCTTAGCAAACCACTTAATGCATTTCTACAATTGTCTTACGGCTTCTCTCAAAATGTGTTATACTGTAGTTACTTCATCCTTTTAAAGCAAGAAGTAAAAAATATATAACCACCAGATAAAGTTATTCATACTAAGGGTGACTTCAGCTGTTGGTGTATTGAAGAAATATTCTGAAAAGTTCCCAGATTACTGAAATGAACAAACACTAAATGGTGTCTCCCCTGTGTCTGAGTTATTAAAAAACACAGACAAAATTTCTGAAGGACAAAAAATAAGAGAGAGTGACAGGAAGGGCAGAGAGAAGTGAGGCAATCCAAGGTAAGCGTGAGTACATGAAGGTGAGGGACTCGACCTTAAAAGTGAGAGAGGAGTAACAGAGGAACATGATAAAGAAAAAAGATAGAATACTGTACAAGAATGAGGGAATAAGATAGAAGGACATTGGAAGGGAGATGGAGAGTGGGAGAGTCTGACCACATGACCAGGAACGGAGGAGTAATGTGAAGTAATGGCACTTCTTCAGCGTCTCCATGAACTAACAGTATTTAGCGTAGAAAATCTAAGTTTGGCACGAACATTATGAGAAGATTATGAATTCTAAGATACAAGAGTGGCAGGAGAGAGTTATAATGTAGCACACGAATGGATGGAACTAAACAAGGTGGTGAGAGGCAGAGGTAGTGAAGCGTGACAAAAGACTGGCTGAGGTCATCTTAAGCTGTGTTAGAGAAGGCGATTTGGACAATCTTGTCATAGTGCTTTGCAGTCTGTTATTTATATATGTAAATCAATATAAGAAGGACAGTATCAAGCAAGACAGAGGCAATCATATATCACATCAAGTGTAGAATAAAAGTACAGATTATACAGTACAAGAAAAAAGTGGGAAGAAGACATGGAGGAAACAGTGTAACAAAGACAACACAAGTAATAAGACAGAGGATTATTGAAGGGAGCGGGTCAGGTGACAAAAGACAAGCAACATGGTTAGTATTAGCACTCGGCGTCTAGTAAAAAAAATAAAATAAAAAATCAGCAAGTTAATACAGGGGTGCAGCAGTTAGTGCAATACTAGGATTAAGTTTCCTTGGCACCTACTGCTATGACACAGCTATCCAAGATTTTAGTTTTAAGCCAACAATATACTGTAAAGCAAAGCAATATAAACCAAATGACAAGAACCCTACACATTGACAGCATTAATGTATCAGTTAGATTAAATCACTTACAACTAAGACAGCTTCAATGAATACAATGATAATA